TGGCTGTCGACTCGAGAGGTGATCGTGACATTGCCGGTCCGTTTAGGGGCGAACTGGTCACGATTAGAAGCTTCGAGAGAGGACGCGGACGTGGGAGCGAGCAACATTGTGAGTCTCTCGCCATGCGGTGCGGAGCGGAGGTGACTCAGGGAAGCAACAAGATGTGGGAATTGATTCCCAAGGCTGCATGGTACGTTTCTGCGAATGACGCCTCGGACTGATGCAAGCAAATTACGCAGGCGCTTCCCTCGCGGTTTTCTTCACGACAACGAGGATCTCAGCCAATTGTGGTACAAGGATTCGTCAGAGACGTCAGTCGACTTCGCTTCTACAGCACTCGCTAGGCTCACCATATCGACGTCACCCTCCGCAGTTCGCGTCTTGGACCGAGTGAAGTCCCTCAGGCCTGCAGGGCGGCATCGCGTTTAAGACCTTCTCCGTCAACCCGGAGCTCTACCTCCCCTGGCTCCAGTCCGAGCTGCTCGCGCGCGGCGTAGAGTTCGTCCGCAGGAGGGTGCACAGCCTTGGCGAGGCAGCCGCCCTCGCAGGCCCGAACAGCATCCTCGTGAACGCAACAGGCCTAGGTGCGTGCATAGCCTCGTGCCCTCGACGCACACGCCCCATCCGCGCGATCGCCCTGACCACGCCTTGGACTCGTAGGCGCTCGCTCCCTCGTCGGCGTGGAAGACACAGACGTGTTCCCCATCCGCGGGCAGACCATCATCGTGCACGCGCCCGGCCTCAAAGAGTTCATCTCGCTCCCGCTCGGTACGGGCACGCAGGGCCAGGCGACCTACATCATCCCGCGGCCCTCGCCGCCGGGCGAGGTCCTGCTCGGCGGGACCTTCCAGCCGGACAACTGGGACACCTCGCTCGACGTGCCGACGGCGAAGGGCATCTTTGAACGGTGCGCCGCGCTGGCGCCGCAGCTAAAGGACGCGGAGACGCGGGTCCTGCGCCACAACGTTGGGCTGCGGCCGGCGAGGAAGGGCGGTCCGCGCGTGGAGGCGGCGTGGACTGACGTGCCGCTGAAGAGCGAGCTGCTGCCGCTGCGGGAGAGCGATGTGGGTGCGGAAGGACGCGTGTTGCTTGTCCACGCGTATGGATTCGGGTGAGTCTGTAGCTTGGGGCGTGGAGGAGTGCTGGCAGTGCTGAGCCGCGACGCGTTCGATAGCGCTGCGGGGTACCAGAACTCGTGGGGCGCCGCGCAAGAGGTGACAGACTTGATCGCAAGCAAATTGAACAATTGAGGAGGGGTGGTTGCCCGGGCTGCGCCAACGTAAGAAGATCGCAACGGGATGTATGCTAGGTCGAGAAAACGTCTTACCGGTCAGTGTGTAGCAGCAAACTTGAATGACGCGTATGTAAGCGCCAAATGTATAGTTGCCTCGTACAGCTCAAATAGCACTCATGTATCAGCATCGCGTAGTTAGAGATGATCAATAGAATGTATTCGAGAGAGAGTCCATGCGTGCTAAGGATACAGGACCTGTACGGTGCATGCACAACACATAAAGATAGACGTAGAGAGCTCATAGGACCAGGAACATTATACAGTGTGTGTCATAACTGGCGAACCTCGTAACCTCAGAGTCATGATCCCACTGGCAATGGCAAGTCGTCACCTGCGGTCATACGCAGGCCGGGACGACACCGCCCTCGCCTGCCCCGACCCATTCCTGATCTTGCCCAGCCACCCCCGCTTCGCAGCCGTCGCCTCCTGCGCGGCCGCCTTCCCGCGCGGGCTGTTCGTCACGTCCGCGATCGCGGGAGGGACCGAGGCTGTGGTCGCTCGCCGAGGGGACAGCTGCAGGACGTGGCTCCGCACGGGCGTGAACCCCGTCCGCACCGCCTGCAGCGCTCTGCGGGCGCGGGGCGTCGCGGGCTGGTTGACGGGCAGGCAGTCGGCGGTGAAGCCCTGCGGAGGCAGGCTCTCGCAGTCGTCGAAGTCGTCCGGCGCCCTGCGCTTCTTGCCCGCCGTGCTCGTCGTTACCATGGACGAGGATGAGAACGCGATGGGCATGGCGGGGATGGGAGGGAGGGAAGGCGCCTGGGACGGCGTCCGCCGTGCTTCTGGCGTGCGAGCTCTGAAGACGGTAGGCTGTGACGTCCGGACCTCTGGTGTCTTGGGCCTCGGCAACGCCGATGGCCCCGAGGCGATACGTGAGCGAGAGTTGGGGGTCGTTGGCGTGTATGTAGGAGTTGGCAATGGAGGCTGTGAGTGTGGTACGCGCTCCAGCCTGGGGACGACAGGCTGAGGAGCCATGGATGACGAGGACCTTGCTGCACGTAGCGCAGGAGCGGAAGAAGGCCCTGCCTCAGCCTTGGGCGTGGACGCGTCAGCTTCTCCGGCCGCAATTTTACTCTGGAGTGCATGAAGCTTTCTCGTGAGCGTCTCGATCCTGCTCGTGAGCTTCTTCTTCTCTTTGAGCATCCTGTGAGGCGGACGGTCAGTGAGGCGGATCTACGCAAGAAAAATCCTACGCACTCAATGAAGCGATCGTCATTCTCCTCAATCTCTGCGCACTTGTTACGCAGGTGCTCTTCCATCTCCATGTTTCGCTCCTCGAGGTCGGCGATCTTCTCTTCCAACGAAGGGTTCGATCGAAGAGCCTGTAGATCACGCTTGAGCGCATGGATGGTCTGCTCTTGTTGAATCTCCCGCATTGAGGAGGTCGCCTCCAGGCCTTGGAATGCCTTCTCGGATTGCACAAGTTTGGAGCCTACCTCGTCAAGGTCGTCCGACGAAGACTGGATACGGGTTTCGCTGTCATCGTTGGTGAGTATGAGGGGTCGCCGGAATAGGCGTGACGTTATATTTACCTCTCCTTGACCTGGCTTTCCAGATAGCGTTGAAGGGACTTAAGCCGCTGCACCTCCGCACCCATGCTCGTTGCCTCGAACTGCAAAGCTGTCCGCTCGTTCTCGAGCGTCTGTAGCGAAGAGTCTGCTTCCTCGAGTTGCGCACGGAGAGCAGTTATTTCTTGACGGAGCTGGTCGTTCTCCCGCTCTGCCTCAGCTGTCTTGTCCTTAGCGAGTCGCACTTCCTCTTCATGCTCCTTCTGCGTCCGCGCGTGCAAATCCATCTCGCCCCGGAGGGTTGCCTTCAAGTAGTCGACCTCGTCCTGCGCAGACGTGAGCTGGTTCTGCAAGTCGTCCTTCGCCGTGGACGAGTCCTCGAAGAGTTGCTGATATCGGTCTTCCACTTCAGCGAGAGCGCTCTGAACCTGCTCCGCTTCCCGAGCGGCGCCGTCGAGTCTTTCGTGCATCTCCTTGAGCTCGCAGTCCCGCAGCCGCTCAAATTCAGCCTCAGCGGCCTCATAGGCCTCTGTCTTCTCCGAAAGCTGAGTTTTGAGAGACTCGACTTCCTCGAGCAGACCTTCGCACTGTGCGTCAGCCTCTTTGCGCGCGAAGTTGACCTCGGTCAAGTCGGCCTTCGTGCGCTCGAAGTCCTTGTGCAAGTCCTCCAGCTCCTTCTGTTGTTCCGCACGAATGACTGAGAGTTCATCACCGACGCGATCCGTCTCCTGGAGTCGTTCCAAAGCATCTTCGAGTTGACGTTCGAGATCGTGCTTGGAGGTATTTAGGGCTGCCTCGGCTTCTTGATGAGACTGCTTCAACTGCTCATGAGATGCTTGAAGCGCCTCAAGTTCGGCCGCAACGTTGTCGAGTTGGCCTTGCAGAGCCTGGACTGCCTCGGCCCTCTCTGCTTGTGCCGCAACCAGCTGCTCTCGCAATTGTGACTGGGTTCTCGCGCTCTCCGCAAGTTTCTGCTGGAATTCCTCGCTGCACTGGGCGAACTGCTGGCTGTCTCGTTCGAGAGTTGAGCGTAACTCGGAATGGGTGGATCGGAGGGACTGGAGCTCTTCCTGAAGTCTTGTCTGTTCCGCGAGGAGTTGCGTCTCCTTCTCGCCTTCGGCGGCTGCCTGCAACTCACGCAACGCGTCTAGCTGCTGCTGCAATGACGTGATCTGGGCTACCCTCTCCTCTACGTCTTGTCGCAGAAGGGCGGACTCTCGCTGCGCCATGACTTTAGCATCCTGTGCATAGCGGCCAGACAGATCGGTAGCACGAAGTGCGGTGTGCAGTGTGGCGAGCGCAAGAGTGGCCTGGATGGTCTCGTTCTCCAGACGTGACGCTTCGTGACCAAGACCTTCGGCGAGACGTGTCTTCTCCTCCAGAGCCTGCGATAGGCAGATGCGCTCCTCGTTCAAGGATCGCAGCTCGGCGTGCAAGGTCTCCGACTCAGTCCGATGTTGCCTGAGTTGTTGGACTTCTTCGGCAAGACGTCTCGCTTCTGCCTTCACGCTTTCCACCGCGGCCTGGATCTCGTCCCTCTCGTCCTCGAGCTGCTCCGCCTTCTCTTCGAGCACCTCGGACTTGCCGCGTGCTTCGTCCCTCTCTTCCCTGCTGGCCCTGCAGTCCTCCACCATCGCCTCCTTCTCGCCTGTCATAACCTCCAGCTCGCCTGTCATCTCTGCAACGCGCTCCTCCTGCAATCTCAAGTTCGCCTCCAGCCGCTTGATATCGTGTTGGTGCATGCCGATCTGCTCGGTGCGTCGGAGTACGCGCTCCTCGAGTGCCTTGATCTGGTTGTGCAGTGCTTTGTCAGACTCTCCTGAAGACAGAGAGCGTAGCTGCTGCGCCGACCGCTCGTCCGCCTCCGTAAGCTCCTGGCGGGCGGTCTCGAGATCTTGCTGCGTGTGCTGCAGTTGCAGCGCGAGTGCATCGCGCTGCGTCTCGGCTTCGAGCAAGGCCTGCGAAAGCTCCTCGAAGCGGGCTTCAGCCTGTGTGAGAGTGGCGGCTGCGTCATCTTGTTGGTCCCGCTCAAGAGAACGCTCCCCCTCCAGACGAGCGATGATGTCTTTGCAGGCCGCTATAGTAGACTCGGCCAAGTGCAAGTTCTGGGTAGTCTCCGCGAGCGCTGCTTCGATTTGGTGCAGCCGAGCATCTTTCTCCGCGAGGACAGCATCGAAGCTGCACACGTTTGCCTCTTTTTCGGCTAAATATAGCTGAGTCTGCGCGTACTCATCGTGAGCAGCGGCCAAGGCCTGCGAAAGGTGCTCGATCCGCGAGAGATTGTGTGCGTCATGATCGGCTGCATGCTGAGCCACGAGTGCAAAGACGAGTGCATGTCGCTGGAGCCGTATGCCCTGTCTGCCAGGAAGTCCGAGTTGTGCGACAGGCTTTTGCGCAGGGAAAGAACCGGCTGAATAAGCTACCGGAGCGGCAGCGAGCTTCGCTCGGAGGTCCTCGATAGTAAACCTGCTCTCGTCATTCAAGAAGTCGAAGTCTCTTTGTAGGTCATCACGCTCGTAGCGGAGGCCATCACGTTCGCTGCGTAGACTCTCGATCTTGTTGAGCAGCCGTTCGATCGTTGCCGCAGTCTCGGCATCTTTGCCCGGAGAAAGTGGGACCAGAGTGCCCTGAGCGGAGGTCGCGAGTCGGGCCTCGAGATCCCTACGACCTTCGTCAGTATGATTTGTGTGCTTCACTGTGATCACTTACTGTATTCTGCTGCTCACGCCACGGACATGTTCCTGCATTCGTTGTGCTTGCTCAGAAGCCCGGTCCCGCTCGTCCAACGCAGCTTCCTTATCAGCTATCAGCTCGACTAATCTTGTCTCCGCCTCCGCAACCTTTGTCTTCTCGGCCTGCAGTAAGCCCAAAGTCCTCTGGACTTCGTCTCGCAGCATCGCAAGCTCTCTCTTGGTCTGCGTACCACCAGAACGCTTCAGCTCTGCCTCGAGCATTGCGACCTTTCGTTCTTCATCCTCTAAACGCTCCAAGAGACCCATTTCTCTAGCAGCCGCGTCGGCGCCGCCGCTACCCTGCAACGTGCGCAACTCCTCCTGGCTGTCCTCAAGCTCGGATCGTGCTTGTTCAAGTTCCCTGCGGAGTTGCTTCTCCATGGCAATCTTCTCGTTCTCCCGTCGCACGAGGGACTCCTGTAGACGTGTTGCCTGGGCTTTGGCTTCGTGTAGCTCCTTCGTCTGCTGGGCCAGACGGCTGTTCAAATCAGCGGACTCGCGCTCAAGCGCAGTGACCCGGAAGTTGTTCACAGACGAGGACCTAGGGCGACCGCGCACGCCCGGGGCCGCATTCCGACTTTGCCGCAAAGTCGATTCGGCCGCATGTTCCTTGACTGCCAGCTCTGTCTGCAAAGATCGCACCTTCGCCTTTAGTGAAGCGTTCTCCGTCTCCAGCGCTCCTTTCTGCGATGTGGTCGACTGCATGCCCCTGCTTAGCGAATCAAGTGTTCCGTGTAGTTCGAGCGACGCTTGTTCAGCGGTCTTCAGCTTCTGCTGCGTAGCGACCAGAGCAGCTTCAACATTCTGGCGCGTAGTGCGTTCGTTCTGTAGTTCTTGATTACGCTGGTTTATGGTAGCTTCCAATTTGATGGCGCGGTCGGCCTCTCGTCGAAGCTGCATGCAGATGTCAGATCTAGACAAGACAAGCGAGCAGACCACGTACCTTTGTGACTACGTCATCAAAAGAGGCCTGTATATCTTTCAAATCGTCTTCTCTCTTGAGCAGCTGGCTGTGGAGCGTAGTATATTGTGCATCTGGGGAAACGAAGTTGGTATATGCGAATGCGTCTGAAGCCACAACGCGTACCTTTATTGCGGAGTTGTTCCTTGAGGATTTGTACTTCGTCGGAGTCGTGGTTATCACCAATACCCCATGTCGACATGATGTCGACGGCGACGGCGGCGTGTAATGTGGGGAACGGGGTCGAGAGGGCGGCACACGATGGTGGTTTGATGAGAGCGCTAAAGGCGACCACCGACTTCAACATTGGCGGGACGTATGCACGTGATCGCGTTGTGGCGGGCCTGAATTCACGTGGCGGGCGCCTGGCGCGTCGCTGTCGTCGCTGCGTGCGTCCGGAGGCCCGGGCCATGCACCGCCAGTGGCAGCGATCGTCTCTTGTCTACGACCGTGGCACAGGACGCTGATATTGACCCCCATGTTGTTCAAACATGACAAGTCTTACGTTGATCTCTCCCTTGAGCTCTCCGACGAGATCGATTGGCAAGCTGGTACTCTGAGGCATGTCCGCCATCATCTTAACGTCACGGCCCTTGCTACAGAGCCTGTCTCAGGACTGCTTGCAGCTGGTAAGCTGGATCGTATCTTGCCTTTAATGTTGACTCATCATTGACCGACCGGTTTACTAGGCTTTCTCTCTGGTCAGATCGTCGTGTATGGTTCTCCTGGTGCCGAATGTACTCTACGTCTCTCGGATCCACCAGGAGCACGGGCGAGCTTCCTCAGCTTTGCAGAGACGTTGTTCCGATTGCTCTGTGTTGGTTCGATATGTGATTGTTTATGTTACATCGCAGGGGCTCACTGTCTCATACAGACGACCGCTATCGCCTACACATATGGGATCTATCAACGTTAGGCAAACCTAAACTACTCAAGGTGGTGCACCTACCTCAAACTGTCAAGTGAGCACGAAATATAGCACCGTATGGCCTCTCTGCTGACGAGAGCTGTCAGCTGTATCACTGTGTCCCCATCACATACACATGTGAGTTTCTTTGATTCAAAACCTTCCACGGCGTCTCAGGCGCCGCTGCATTATAGGCCTTCATTGCTTTGGCGAATGGCGAAGTGAAAACATACGACCTCCTTTGCATGAGAATGTCTCCGTACACTATACCCTCCGATGCATGGGCGCAATACGAAAAGAAGACGCAAGCAAGTGGAATGCCAGCAATTCATACATCTGGATCGTGGGTCCCTATTGTCGCTGTTGTGTACTAGTGCTTGCTCAACATGACTTTATCAGAGAGCAAATTGTGGACATAGTTATACATCCTAGGGATCTCAACTTGTTATTCGTGGCATATGGAGGTATGATCGTGGTTAGCCCTTACCTTGGCCGGTGCTGAGCTTTTTGTTCAGGCGGGATTATTCTTATCGATCTTGTAAGTGAGAAAGGACCGCTTCGTCCCATACGCTGACCGTTTGCATATGCAGAAGCAGCGCAGTACTATCCGTACATATGAACTGGTCCTCCCTCCCGGTGCGCCTGGCGGAACGGGCTACCATGCTCCGGCAAGTGCGGATAACTGCACGCGCAATTGGTCTGACTGACGAGACTTACAGGACATCCTACTACCACGTCGACCTCCAGTCACTGCACTGACAATTCATCCGTCTGGCCATGTTCTGGCAGTAGGCCATGCAGATGGGACCATCGCATTCTGGGCGCTCGAAGACGAGGATCATCCCCTTTACGTTCGAACTCTAGATGAAGAGGAAGATGTCTTCGCAGTAGATGTCACTAAACTCGAGGCAGCATTACCCTCCGGCGACAGCTCTGGAGCAAAAGAGAGACTCGCGGAGATCCGGGAACCCATCTTCAAGCTGGCTTGGAGCGGCTTCCCCAATTCAAGCGATCCCCGCGGCGGCGACACTGTACTCACCGTCCTCGGTGGTTTGGGCCCGGACTCATCACCAGGTCTCACAGCCTTCCTGCTACCTCCTCTCAATTCTCCCGCACCGCCTGACGCAACAACGGCCAAGATGCCCTCGCAGCCACCCCTTCATCCTGATGTTCGCGCGGCTATGCAAGAAATTCTGTTCCCTCTAGACTCCCACACCTACCACACTCCAGGTGCGGTGCAAGATTTCTTACTCATACCGCGATCCAGTCCGCACTTCTCTGGGACTTGGGATCCGTGCGCTGTCCTGCTACTCTCGGACAGCGCTCTAGACACCACTGGTGTCACGCGTGTCGTCGATGCGTATGAGTTCCCGCCCCCCGCCTTCGTAGCGTCTTTGATGAAACCGGCAATGCCTGGCGCTGCGGACTTGGATGACCCTTCAGTAGCACTTAGCCAAGAGTTGGCAACGACCCTCGAAAGCATGGCTCTGTCTGCAGATCCGCGACAGCTGCGCTTGCCGTGGGCTTTCTCAACTGTAGATGGAAGCATGCTGTTCAAGATAGACAAAGAGGCGTATGGAAGGCTGATGGAGGAAAGTTTGGATGACGCGCTGCCTATCAAAGGAGGTAAGGCCTGGGTAGAGGATACCGAAGGCCAGATGAAGCTCATGAAGGTTCGCACTTCTGACACATACTGTTGCGACATGAAGACCCTAATACCCTCGTAGTTCCAGCCGCACCACATCTTGGTCACACACGACCACGACCTTGTCATTCGCTTCCAGGACCTAAGTGCACAACTGCTGACCAGTTCATCCGATTCGCCTGTACAGTCTTCTTTTCCAAATGCCCTGTCGGCCTTGACGATTGAACTTGGACCGCTACTTCACGACCCCTCGCTCAGGCTCTCAGCTCTACCGTCGTCGGCCGAGTCCATCCATTCTGCTCAATCCGTACACTCGTCGCACTCCGTTCAGTCTCCGCATTCCCCTGCATCCCCTGCGTTCTCCGGAAGTGGTGAAACGAGCGCTGTCAGTCATGATCCCTCTGCTGTGCAGTCCATCCATCTCGCTCCCGAATCCCTGGAGTGTGTTGCTGTACTGAACAATGGCACAGTCATCTTAAACCAACTTGATGCTGAAGGCACCTCCAGCCCCTCGGAGATCTCGGATGAAGAGCTAGTCTCCCTCACGCATGTCCCTGTACGAAGTAAACTGCGATATCGCCCTTACCTGGGCGTCAGAGCGGGATGGGGCCAGGTCAGCGCGTGTGGAGTTTCAGACATTGGCAAGTCCTTCTATGTCATCTAAGTGTGCGTGCACATTAACAGACGAATCTGCAGGCTTCCTTGCTGTGGCATATAGTTCAGCCGCGCTTCTCGTGGTCGATATGAGAGGGCCCCGAGTCATCCTTCGCAATGCACCGCCGTCGAAAAAGGACCATCGTCACTCTTTCCTCGCTGCTAAGCGTGATCCGGTTGTGGCCCTCGCATGGACAGCCTGCTCGATCGAATCAGGTATGCTGGGAGGACTTCCTATGACGAAACGCAGTTTCTAACCGAAATTCCCGAAGACCCAACGCCCCGCATCCGCCTTATTGCTACCACGTCTTCCGGTTCTGCGTCGATCTACACCGTCACGCGCTCATCATCTGGCGCGTTTGCGATTCCCGATCCCCCAACACCCGTTGACGCTGCGTCCCACACACTCTCCTCCGGCTCATTCGTGGTCGATGCAAAGAGCGGCGCTCGGGTCGCTGCTGACCGGCAAGGGCTTTCCACGGTCTTGGAAGCCAGTGGTGCCGAGGGCGCGGGCAGACGGTGCGTGTGGGTCAGTGCGGGGATGAAAGGTGCACGGTGCGTTGCGAACCTCGATGGCGACAGGCTTGGCAAGGCGGACTGGCCGGGGAAGGCGGGGCAGTGGTAGGCGTCGATGTGGTGGAGAAAAATGGTGGGGTACCATGCTATGATGTGCTACAGGCTCCGATGGCTGATGTCTTTCTACAGGCGGATGTGCGTTGGTTGCGTTCACAGACCGCGGCGAAGCGCTCGTCTATTCGCTTCCTTTCCTTGAGTACCTACACACGCTCCAGCTACCAGAGACTTCCCTCTCGTGAGCGGCCCCTCTTTTCAAACAGTCTCTAGCATGTCTCATGCTCGCATACACAGGCACGTCTCCGCCGACTCGACCGGCGACTACCTAACACACATCGTCGACCCGACCACCCGGATCGTTCGCCAAACTATCTACGGCACCCTCTTCGCCACGCGACGTGCGGCGCCTTATGCCGCCCCACTCGTCGACTTTATGGTCGGCCACGGCGCCGTGCCCTCGCAACCTGCGCCCGTCCCGCTCGAGCCACAAACCGTCATCGGCTCCGTGCTCGGGTACCTCGGGCGCGGCGTCACGACGGGCGTAGAGATCGACATGTTGTGTGAGTCTCTGCTCTGGTTGTGATGTTGTGCATCGTGCTGACGGCGTGTTGCCTTGCGTGTGTAGTGGCAGGCCCGGATAGGCCGGAACCGCCGAAGTCGATATACGACCCGACGGGTCGTGTGCCGGCTGCATCACGCGATGGGAAGGCGAAAGACGTGGACCAGGGTGGCGCAACCGCGTCGTCGGTGAAGGCTGCGTCGGCGCAGATGTCGAGCGGCGTGAGCGATCTGTACAACAGGCTGGGCAGCGCGCTTGCAGAACGAGGGTGCGCTTCAATCTGGCAAATCGCTGATCGTCTTGAATATACTGACTCTCACATAGGGAGGCACTCGGGAACCTCGAAGAACAATTCAACTCGCTGGAGCAGGGCAGTAAAAGCATGGTCGCGCAGGTACGACGACCAAGTTCTCTCCATGCGAGACATTCTTAAGAACGTCCGTCCAGGCGCAACGATTGGCTGCCCAACAATCTGCGAAGAAATGGTTCGGCTTTTGAGCCCGCTCTCGAAGCCGGCTTCATTCGTCTCCGCTCGCTCGCTGTCGATGCCCACAAGGCAGTATTGGTATCTGAAACGTGCTCGCATCCTATTCTAGTCATCACATGTACAACATTGCTAAAGGACCTCGGTGTTTGTATCTTACAACTCTCCGGCACGCATGAATGCGTCCACTACGACTCATTATGTCACGTTCTAGTTCGAAGTCTTTCCTGCCGGCGGCTCTTGGGAAACAAACATGCCCGTTATGCCCGCTGTCGCCCTCTTGCGCTGCTCGTTGAGCATGCCGAAGAAGCCGTCCTCGCGCGACGTCTCGCGTTTATGTTCCCATTCCTCGGTGTGCTTCGTGACCAGGTGCTGTTCGTTCGTCTGCAGCGTAAGCAGCGAGTTGACAGTCTGGTGCCACATGCAATGCGGTGTCCCATCAGCTCAGTACATGTGGTGCCGAAGCGGTGCTGAGTACCTTCGTGGGAGAGCCTGTGGGGTCGCGGTAGTACGCGACGTCTTGGTCCACGAGGATGGTGCTCTTCGGGACAGATGGCGGGTTCTCGAGGACACGGAACTGTTTTACGTCTGCCCGCGGGAAGACCTATACGGAGGCATGCGCGTGGGCCATATGAGCACGCATATAGTCAGTCGAATGGCGAGATGGATGACGGACCTTGACGAGACCGTTGAATTGAGCACGAATCGACTGTATACCTTCGGCAATGCCGATGGGGTCGTGGAAGACAGCATTTTCTGTGTAGATCTTGTAGGTTTCCTATACTCTCGGTGAGCCTACAGACGCATGGCACTTGCGGTATTTTTACTTGCCTCAGATGGCTTGCAGCTATACAACTGTGTAGATGGGTGCACTTCAGGCGGAAGGCGTTCACAGCAACGACGCGTCCTACCTCCTTGATCCCCTGGAGTATCTTCTCCTCATGAGGCTCTGCACTACGTTCTCTCAACGATTTGGTTTCGTTTGGGGTAAGCCCGGACGCGTTGGTGGCATTCATGTTGTTTGAGGGCATCGTGGCTGTAAATCTGCGAATTTGTGACTGCAAATGAGAGCGACGGATGGGGAGACGGTGGACAGCAAGTCGAGGGAGCATGGTAAGGTGCTACGGAGGAGCAGCTTGCTATATGCGAGGGCGCCGTTCTGGCGGGCAACGGGACGACGCCACCGGGCGGGAGATCGCGCATGACGACGCGCAGAGGAGGCTCTCGAGCATGGAAGCTGCCTGTCTGTCGGGATAACGCCTCACGCGTCACAGTCAGGTGATCGCGTCGCCCCCGCAAGTGTTCGCCGGCGACCTCGACGACGACGACTCGACGTTTGCGCCACGCAGTACCATCCCGATCCGCCCCCAGTCAGTCGTTCATAGTGACTATAGTCGAAGGCCATCCGTGTCAGCGAGAGGATCTCATATATGTATATGAGACTTGGGTTGCTAGGCGAATGCTACGTTCAACGTTGTGCGTATCCAATAACTGGTAATACTCTTCTTACCTGCCTAATAAACCTCGGAAGGTGACATTCCTGTTACAGCGATAAGTACTGTATCACCCAACGCCCCGAAGTCATCTGAGTCATGGTACTACCACCCGCAATTGCAAAGAGAGCATACTAGTACATACCCTGGCTCGTCGATCTCTCTGAGTCCTCTCCCTGAATCAGCCCACGGCCAAAATCCAGCTCCATCCTGTAGCCTCATACCAAGACCCTCCACACCGTGACACCGCACACGTGAGGGTTTGTGTCGAACCTACTCCATCCCGCGATATTGCGCATTTTTGACGAGTGGGAGCAATAAGGACGCGAACCGCATGGTACTATATGCCACCATCAATTTTCGACATGCATCGTCCTTCCGAGCCACCGCGACCATCTACGACATTCGACACGTCCATGCTACGACGACGAGCTCGAGCTAGTAGAGCAGCATGACGTACTACACTCACAAACGTCATGGGGAATGTTTTGATGGTGCGCAAGTACTGACTTAGTGTCGATCCATATTGATGCATCTCTTCATCCCCTATGCGGATAACAGCCTCGGATTCGTCACCATACGAGCAGGACACTTTTGTGTGTGTATTCCTCGGTAGGCATTGCTCAAGTTTCTATTTTTGGGGTTGTGCATGTTTATCAGCGGATTATCAGGCTGCCGGCGGAATAAGCCACCATGAGATCGGGTGACGTCGATTCTCGAGGCTACTCGACTTCTAGCCTCATTTGGGTCTCACCCTCGTATTACCCGTCCACATGGTAACAGACAGCTTCTCGCCACGGATCTCGGCGAGCCCTCGAGGGCACTTATGCCGTGAATTGCGCCTTCCACACGCCTGCCGGAGCACCTGGTTGCGATAGAGCAATTCGTTGTCTCACCCTCCTCATAATTCGCTGTGTATCGCTCCCCATTTCGCAAGCAGGTCTTCTTCAAGGCAGTGCTTCTCCGGGTACTGCAGCATGTGCGGATGCAAACCTCGCCTAGTCGGGTGAATGCAGGCTCCAATGATCAGAAATGGCGCCTGTCAATGCCATCGGCGCAGCGCTCAGCATGATCATCGCTTCGCATGCTCTCCTCCAGCGAATATGCATCGGTGCATATGCACACGCCTACCGGACGACGTATATATAGGCTTCCTCACGCTCCCTCCAACACAGTGTCCGTCGCTTGTCGTTCGGTCACTACCAGCCGTTTGCCATCTGCCCTCCGCGCTCCTCCGCAAGAGACAGCAGTGATACGCCATGGCACTCGGTTCTTCCCTCTTTGCAGCCGTCTTCCTCGCAGTCGCGGTCGCCGCGAGCCCGGTGCAGGTTAACAAACCCCTGGTCTCGCTGCCGTTGGTCCGCCGAACAAACAGCACCAGCTTCACTAATCTGCTCGCGAACGACCAGGCGCGGGCCCGTTACCTGAAGGACCGCGCACAGGCCAAGCTCCAGGGCCGCGCTGCGAGTGTTGACGCTACCAACGCCGTTGACACCTATGTTGTTAGCGTGAGTTTAGAAGATCCTTCCACTTGTATTATGGAAACTCATCAAGCTCAAATGGCGTAGGTCGGCGTCGGGTCCCCTGCTACTCAATGTATGTTACTGGTCGTGATCAAGTGCTGGAGGCTTAGACTCTTGCGCTGTAGATTCCCTCCTCGTCGACACAGGTTCTTCCAACACATGGCTCGGCGCTAACAAGTCGTACACGCCGACCTCCACTAGCAGCGACACCGGTGACTCAGTGGTAAGCTCCATCTACTTGCATCTGTCGCAGAATTTCATGCACGAGACAGTCTGTCACCTACGGCTCGGGCAGCTTCTCGGGCGAAGAGTACACCGACACCGTCACGCTCGGTGACGGGCTGACCATCACAAACCAGTCCATCGGTGTCGCCTCGCAGGCCCAAGGCTTTTCGGGTGTCGATGGTATTCTTGGGTAAGAGTGTTGTCCTGGACTCCTCCATATGCGATGCTGAACTTTGATCGTACCGGATAGTGTCGGCCCTGTTGCTCTGACCCAGGGTACCCTCGGTGACTCCGAGGCTACGGTCCCCACCGGTTAGCGGAAGCCGTTCCCCGACACGATGTCATTGAAACTGATGAATTTATTCTCCATTAGTGACAGACAACCTCCTGTCTCAGGGTACCATTGACACGGAGGTCCTCGCGGTCTCTTTCGCACCGGCGACCTCTGAAAGCGATGCTAACGGTGAGCTCACCTTCGGCGGCACCGACTCCTCCAAGTACACCGGCTCGATCAACTACGTGTACGTCTTACCGTGCTGTATCAGTCATTGACTCTCGCGCTTATGAGCGCACTCCATGATATAGCCCCATCACGTCCACCTCCCCCGCGAGCGAATACTGGGGCATCGACCAGGATATCACATACGGAGACTCGCCGATCTTGAGTTCCACTGCTGGTATTGTCGACACTGGCACGACTCTCGTCCTGATCGCATCCGGTGAGTGACTGCCCAGAGAAATCATCTCGAACCCGAGACTCATTGCATGTTTCAGACGCGTTTGACGCGTACAAGACCGCTACCGGCGGCACTGCGGACGAGAGCACCGGCCTGCTGCGCATCTCGAGCTCGCAGTTCAGCAGCCTCCAGACGCTCAACTTCAACATCGGTGGCGTACGTCCCATTTCATTCTCCTCCCTAGCCGTTCTTACACCAGACTGACGTTGACGCTGGCTCACAGACGACCTATGGCCTGACGGCGAACGCGCAGATCTGGCCCCGCGCGCTGAACAGCGCGATCGGCGGGACCGCGGACGACATCTACCTCGTCGTGAACGACATCGGGAGCGCGTCTGGCGAGGGCCTGGACTTCATCAACGGGTACGCGTTCCTGGAGCGCTTCTACTCCGTCTACGACACGACCAACTCGCAAGTCGGCTTCGCGGAGACCTCGTTCACGAGCGCGACCAGCAACTGAGGTGGCTGGTCAGCTCGATGATACCAAATGAGGACTTTATGGATTTGGGAGGTGTTTATCGCACGATTTCGTGTTGTGGCATCTCGAAGTCTGTAATGCTCGCTACACTCTTTTGTTGAACTCTGGAATGCATGCTTTGGATGAACTGATCCAGTTTGAGTGCGATGTGACATGACGGGCTCGCGGACCGTAACCCGTTTGGACCTACACCCGCGAAGTAGACCAGAGTCACTGCAGATCTCGCTATTAGCTCTCAAGTCTGCGAGCCACAGTCGTCGCCACCTCAGTTAGCTGCTGACTTTCTTACCCTTGGGGGTCATCGATTCCAGATACAAATACAACTGCTGGTTTTTCGTGTTGACGGAGCGGCTGGCCCATCGGACAGGGTCCTTGCGAGGTCCTTGGCGCCTGCATCATGTCCGACGCGTGCAACGGATGTCCGATTTGGGATGTATGTTGCCTTCGTTCGCGACCACTGGCACTACATAATAGCGCGGTCGCTATCCTCTTCATGATCATCGCGCCATACACGTCAACGCCTGCGAGTGGCCGGTGATATGCATGAAATGGTCGATGGGTGAATTGGGCAGGTGACAGGCCCGACAAAGGTTCACTGACACTGATATCAACGACAAACAAGTTCAACCAGTTGAAGTGTTCGACCGCGCAGCGATATTTTTATGTAGGCGGGAGAGCGTCGCTCGGGTGAGCAAGGGATCCTTACTCTTGTATGTTAGTACTCAGCTTACTAGTTGATCTACAGTAGTAAGGCACGATGAAGACGCTTGAATCATATGTGCCAGCCGAGTCTCTTCGGGGTTACGCCAGTGGAGGGTCAGGATAAACACAGATCTCAGGCTTATGGACTCGGACATTTCCTCTATTACCCCGCGGACTAGGCGGATGGGGAGGAGCCCAATGTGGTCCAAGCCGCCACGATTATACTCCAGATATCACTCAACATTAATCTATCTGTCTAATAGGGGGCATCTGCCAATGCAGTAAGTTATCTACATCTACATCATGATGTAACACAAGAGGATAGTAGTACTTCCCGTTTATCGAACGTCTGCCCCACTCACTGTGGGGCCCCATTCCTCCATCGACATCCTCCAAGAGCTCGATGTCATTCCGCAATAGTTTACACATTTTACGAAGCAGGGACAATTGGGACAATATGTATCCCGAATAGCCGCAGTGCCCGTCAATACACCATCAACTCTCAACGTCTCAGGCTGTCGCATCCAAGGTGGAAGCGACGACGGCCGAAGTCGGGCGCGCGAAACAGCATGACGTACTCTCGCGAATGTCGCTCGCGGAATGCTTGAATGGCGCGTACTGTATCCTGCTACTTGTTGTCTTTCTTCGACCCCATGCCAGTGCTCGATGGCATCTCTCCGTCACTGCGTTGGCGTGCTATCAGATGGGCCAATCGTTTCCGTACGAGCAGGACGCCTTTCTCCATTTTCGCCGTTTCGGTGGACATCGCTTCCTAGGCCTGCCAGTGGGCACGCAGTTTGTGGACTTTAGGTGAGTTTGCCCAACTTGGGAGCGGACTGTACCCATTCATGGATCATCAGGTTGCCGGCGGGTCAGCAGCTGTTGACGTCGATTCTCGGGGCAACTCCGTCTACGCCCACCTCCGCCCAAATGGGTACTTACAACTTCTCGACGTGATTCTTGTCACCTGATAATCTCTCGGAGGCAGCGCGCATTTCAGCTTCCATATGTCCTCAGCATAGCTTGCGATGAAGTGACATTCGTTGCCGTCTGAGCTGCCTTGTTATTCGCCATGGATCGCTGCACCAGTTCGCAAGAGAGTCTTCGCGGTCAGGGCAGTGTGTTTCCGGACACTGCGTCCATACGCAGATCTCGGCGAACCTCGTGTACTGATACATTACACAGGTCTCAATCATAATATGCCTGCCACGAATCGCAGATCTTTGAACAGACACCCGCTTTACTCAGGCACCAAACCTTGTATGCATATGGCCACGGCTTCCGGACAACGCATATAAGGCCTCCTCGTTCTCCCTCCAACATGTCACTTGTCGTTCTTTCACTTACAGCCGTTCTGCCATCTGCCTTCCGCGCTCCTCCGCAAGAGACAGCACTGACACGCCATGGCACTCGGAAAATCGCTCCTTACCATCGTTCTCCTTGCAATCGCGGTCGCCGCGAGCCCCGTGCAGATTGACAAACCCCTTGTCTCGCTGCCGTTGGTCCGCCGTACCAACAGCACCGGCCTCGCCAACCTGCTCGCGAACGACCAGGCGCGGGCCCGTTACCTGAAGGACCGCGCCCGGGCCAAGCTCGAGGGCCGCACTGGAAGTGTTGACGCGACCAATATTGCTGACTCCTACGTCGTTAGCGTGAGTTTAAAATATACCTCGTCTTTCTTCGCAGAACTTGTATGAGCTCAATCGGTGTGCAGGTCGGTGTCGGATCCCCTGCCACTCAATGTATGTCTCTGGTTGTGATCATGTGCTGCATACGAAGTTAAGGTTGCGACCTGGCCTTGTAGATTCCCTGCTTGTCGACACAGGTTCTTCCAACACCTGGATCGGCGCTAATAAGTCGTACACGCCGACCTCCACCAGCAGCGACACTGGTGACACAGTGGTAAGCTTCGTCTACTTGCATCTGTCACATAATTGCACGCACGAGATAGTCTGTCAGCTACGGTTCGGGCAGCTTCTCGGGCGAAGAGTATACCGACACCGTCACGCTCGGTGATTTGACCATCACAAACCAGTCCATCGGTGTCGCTTCAAAGACTTCAGGCTTTTCGGGTGCCGATGGTATTCTTGGGTAAGCATGTTTCCTGGACTCGTAGTATTCCTGCATGCCATGCTCAATTTGACCGTATCGATTAGTGTCGGCCCTGTTGCGCTGACCCAGGGCACCCTCGGTGGCTCCGAGTCCGATGCTACGATCCCTACCGGTTCGCGAACGCCGTTCCTCGGCACGTTGATCTTGACATTGATGAGACTCTCTTTCATAAGTGACGGACAACCTCTTCTCTGAGGGTATCATTGGCACGGAGGTCCTCGCCGTCTCTTTCCACCGGCGACCTCTGAGAGCGATGCCAACGGTGAGCTCACCTTTGGCGGTACCGACTCCTCCAAGTACACCGGCTCCATCAACTACGTGTACGTTCTACCGTGCTCGACCAGTCGTTGACTCTGGCACTGACCAGCGCGCTCTGTGTTATAGCCCGATCACGACCACCTCCCCCGCGAGCGAATACTGGGGCATCGACCAGTCTATCTCATACGGGTCCTGGCCGATCTTGAAGTCCAGTGCTGGTATCGTCGACACCGGCACGACTCTCATCCTGATCTCCACTGGTGAGCGATTCGCCCGAGCGACTGCGAACCTGAGGCTCAATCCATGTTTCACATTGGCAGGCGCGTACATCGAGTACATGATTGCTACCGGCGGGACTGTGGACGAGAGCACCGGCCTGCTGCGCATCTCGAGCTCGCAGTACAGCAGCCTCAAGACGCTCAATTTTAACATCGGCGGCGTACGTCTCATTCCACTCTCCTCCCCTACGTTGGACTGGCGTTGACGCTGGCTCGCAGACGACCTACAGCCTGACGCCGAACGCGCAGATCTGGCCGCGTTCGCTGAACAGCGCGATCGGCGGGAGCGCCGACGATATTTATCTCGTCGTGAGCGACATCGGAGGCGAGTCTGGCGAGGGCCTCGACTTCATCAACGGGTACGCGTTCCTAGAGCGCTTCTACTCCGTGTTCGACACCACGAACTCGCAAGTCGGCTTCGCAACGACCCCGTACACGAGTGCGACCAGTAATTGAGGCGGCTGGTCAGCTCAATGGTCCCAAATGAGACTTTGTGGATTTGCGTGGCATTTGTCGTATCGGACTCCGTACTGGGCATCTCGAAGTCTGTGATGCTCGTTACACTCTTTTTTGAACTCTGAACTGAATGCTTTTGATAATGGCCGTCCCGCGGACAATCATTCGTTTGGACGTACTTATAACCGCCTCATAGTATGACTCGTAACATTGTAGATGGCCGGCCGCAATCGATCTTTGTTGCGACGTTGCCGGACGGTCACGGTGCCTGGCCACGACAACCGCCTTGCTCGCGCCTGCCTTCGACAAGGAACTAGAGAGCTTGTGTGAAATCTTGCGAGTTCAAATCTTTGTGCAATATGTTCAACATTCAGAAAGCACGGGTGATCGCTAATCACTCAAGGATCAAAGACACATTGGTACACTGTTACTGTTCATGAGCGGGATGTGATTCAGATAGCAAGGTGGTCACTCTTATGGAGTCTGGCGTTGGTACATGGTGTGCAAGTCGTGCAGGTAGCTGGGCAGATAGTGAACAAGGGGGCAGGCAATTGAGGTATGGGAGCAGACGGGCGACAAGCAGGCCTGTAAGCCAAAGAGGCCAGTGGGCGAGTACGCGGACGAGCGAGAGATATGCAGGCAAGCAAGAGGAGATGGTGACCAGACAATCGGGGGATGATGAGGGGTGGACAAGCGGGCGTACACCGTGCAGATGCCAGTGTACGAGTACACGTGTGAACGGGCGAGCAAGCGGGTGGACGGACGAGTGGACGGTGCGCGGATGACTGTGCAGTGGACACAGAAGTGCGCTACAGTGAACAGCGATTATGTGGAGGCATGAGCGGGAGAACAAAATGGGCGGCGGACAGTTATAGTAGACTGACGGACACGACAATACTTACTGTCATGGCGTTCATCCGGGTGCCCGTGAGGAGGGGTCCATTTGATAGCCATCGGCCGTGGACGTGGTAGCACCCACTGGCATCTTGACGATGACAGCGCTCCGACCCCCATCCCTGTTCCATGGCCCTTTCGGAGGCCCTCGCGCGAAGTGCCCAGCCCATAGCTGCGTAGCCGGGCGAGTTACTCGGTTAGACCTGGTAGAGAGTTCAGTGAAAACTTCCGGGAGTCAGTTGCGGTTCCCCGACAGCTTGACGCAACTCACCGAGCATCAGGCAGATTAGGGTGCGCCTCCGCTGTCCGTGCCATTGTACAAATGAAGCAAGGGCAGGGGCACAACCATCGGATCACCCTGTTAGTGCGATCCAGTGTCGTCCTTGCGCTTCATATCCCATCATAAGCGATGACGATGATTAGTAGTCGCACGCGGGGCCCGGGACAGTTGACGAGCATGTTCTACGGCGGCAGGGGAAACTCCTCCGTAAGTGGCACCGGTACCGAGTCGCGGCTCTCGCGACTTGCAGGCTGCAAGCGAGGGTCGTCGCGACTTAATCACTTAGCTACTTACCTTCCATCCCTTTCATCAACATCATGCTCACCGTCAGACAAGGATATCCTGAGGCAGAAAGTTGAAGAATTGTCTACGTCTGCCTGGGGAGACTAGCTCACCCGCGTGCTCCCAGCCGTGCTCTTCATGATCTTCGCACTCGCGACGCTCTTCGACCCAATCATCGCCCATCCATTAAATGCATAGGAGTGGCCCATGGTACGTGCGAAGTGGTCGATGGGCGGATTGACAGATGCTAGCTTACCAGCAGTCATTCCCAGTGAACCGCGAGTGGCTGAGAGCGACCCGACCATGCTCGGCAGGTGACAGGAAAAAAGGTTCGCTAACATTGTTATCAGCGATAGACAAGTGTGTAACGTTGCAACGTCAACGTACAGCTGCCCAGCGACATTTTGAGGCGGGAGAGCGTCGCTCTAGCGAGCAAGGATGGGATGTGGCTGAGGTGTGGCGGACACGAAACACGGACGGGGAGGACTCGGAGGAGTCCAGCGTGATCCAAACCGCCACCATCATTACATCCCAGATACTTATCACTCAACATTCTAACTGTCGAGTGGCGGCTGCAGTAAGCATCTATGCACAGTGACATGGACACAAGTGGATAGTAGCCCCGTTGGCTGAACATTGGCCAAGCACCATCATGATGGGCCCCGTTCCTCCTCCATCTCCTCCATCCTCCAAGACCCTAGAGTCTAATAGCATTCCGCAATATGGCCCACATTACACGAAGTAAGCACATTGCATATATTGCGGTTGTCAATTCACCATCAACTTTCGACTCATATGTGTTCGCGTCCATGAAGCGACGACGGCCAAACTCGAGCTCGCAAAGCAATATGACATACTTACACGAACGTCGCTCGAACGCCTCGACGGTACGTCAATCCTACTTCTTGTTATTTTCCTTCGACCACATGCTTGATGGCATCTCTCCGTCCCCCATACGTGCCATCAGAGAGCCGGATCGTTTCCATACGAGCAGGACGCCATTTTCGCCATTTCGGTGAGCATTGCGTCCTAGGCCTGTTCACGCAGGTTGTGAAATTTGGGTGAGTTTGCCCAGCTTGAAGCAGACCGTATTTTTATGGATCACTGGGTTGCCGGCGGGTTAGCAATTGTTAAGTCGATTCTCGGGGCAACTTCGCCTAAGCCCACCTTCGCCCGAATGGGTACATACAGCTTCTCGACGCGGTTCTTGCCACTTGATGATTGCCCGGAGCAGGCGCACATTTCGGCTTCCATATGTCCTGACAATGAAGTGTAAATTTGGTGCCGTCGCTGCCCTTCGCGGTCAAGGCAGTGTGTTTCCGTGCATTGCGTCCATGCTTGCGCAGATCTCGGCGAACCTCGTGTACTGATGGACCTCTCCGGTTGAATGCAGGTTTCAATCACAATACGCCTGCCATCGCAAATCCATGAACTAACGCCTCGCTTTATCAGGGCATTAAGCCCTGTATGTGTGTGGCCACGCCTTCCGGACAAGGTATATAAGGCCTCCTCGTTCTCTCTCAAACACAGTGTTCGTCGCTTGTGGTTCGAACACTTACAGCCGTGCTGCCATCTGCCCTCCGCGCTCCTCCGCAAGAGACAGCAGTGACACGCCATGGCACTCGGTTCTTCCCTCTTTGCCACCGTCCTCCTTGCGATCGCGGTCGCCGCGAGCCCCGTGCGGATTGACAAACCCCTTGTCTCGCTGCCGCTGGTCCGCCGTACCAACAGCACCGGCCTGGCCAACCTGCTCGCGAATGACCAGGCGAGGGCCCGCTACCTAAAGGACCGCACCCAGTCCAAGCTCGAGGGCCGCACTGGGAGTGCTGACGCGACCAACACTGCTACACAATACGTTGTTAGCGTGAGTTTCAGAGATACCTCGTCAAAACTGCAAAAGCTCATCGAGCTCAATTGCTGTAGGTCGGTGTCGGGTCCCCTGCTACTCAGTGTATGTTTCTGGTTGTGATCAAGTGCTGCGTAGGAAGTTTAGACTGCAGCCCCGTAGATTCCCTACTTTTCGACACAGGTTCTTCTAACACCTGGGTCGGCGCTGCCAAGCCATACGCGAAGACCTCCACCAGCAACGACACTGGTCACAGAGTGGTAAGCTTCATCGACTCAGGTCTGTCACAGAATTTCATGCACGAGACAGTCTGTCACCTACGGCTCGGCGACCATCTCGGGCGAAGAGTACACCGACACCGTCACGCTCGGTGACGGGCTGACCATCACACAGCAGTCCATCGGTGTCTTCGATGGCTATGGCTTCGGTGGTCTCGATGGCATTCTCGGGTAAGGGGGCCATCCTAGGCTCCTAGTGGTCCTGCATGCAATGCTGAACTTTGACCGTACCGGATAGTGTCGGCCCTGTTGGTCTGACCGAGCGTACCCTCAGCGACTCCGATGATACGATCCCTACTGGTTCGTGAAAGCCGTTACCCGATACGATGACATTGACACTGATGAAGTTCTCTCCCATTAGTGATGGACAACCTCTTCTCTGAGGGTATTATTGACACGGAAGTCCTCGCCGTCTCTTTCGCACCGGCGACCTCTGACAACGATACCAACGGTGAGCTCACCTTTGGCGGTACCAACTCCTCCAAGTACACCGGCTCGATCAACTACGTGTACGTCCTAACGTGCCCGATCAATCGTTGACTCTCGCGCTGACCGGGGCGCTCTATGTTTTAGCCCTATCACGTCCACTTCCCCCGCGAACGAGTTCTGGGGCATCGACGAGTCCATCTCATACGGATCCTCGCCGATCATGAACTCCACTGCTGGTATCGTCGACACCGGCACGACTCTCATCCTGATCGCATCCGGTGAGTGACTGCATAGAGAAATCATCGCGAACCCGAGACTCATTGCATGTTTCAGACGCGTTTGACGCGTACAAGAATGCTACCGGCGGCACTGCGGACGAGAGCACCGGCCTGCTGCGCATCTCGAGCTCGCAGTTCAGCAGCCTCCAGACGCTTAACTTCAACATCGGCGGCGTACGTCCTGTTCCACTCACCATTCTTACACTGGACCGACGTTGACGCTGGCTTACAGACGACCTACGGCCTGACGCCGAACGCGCAGATCTGGCCGCGTTCGCTGAACAGCGCGATCGGCGGGAGCGCGGGTGACATCTACCTCGTCGTGAACGACATCGGGAGCGTGTCTGGTGAGGGCCTGGACTTCATCAACGGGTACGCGTTCCTTGAGCGCTTCTACTCTGTGTTCGACACCACGAACTCGCAAGTCGGCTTCGCGACGACCTCGTACACGAACGCGACCAGCAACTAAGGAAGCTGGTCAGCTCGGTGATCGTCTTGTGGACTTGGATGGTGCACGTGTTTGTTGCAGAACTTAGTACTGGGGCATCTCGAAGCCTGTAATGCTCGCACACCCTTTTGCTGACTTACACTCTTTTGTTGAGTTACACTCTCTTGTTCAATCACACTCTTTGTTGAATTCTGGGATGAAGGCTTTAACAATGAACTGGTCCAGTATGATAGTGCGACACGACATGACAAGGTCCAAGAAGTTGCGGTAACTCGCCTCGAACTCGTTACCGAACAGGCCCTTACAGTCGACTCAATACTTATGGTACGAGCATCGTATCATTGTGGATGACCAGCCCAGATGTTTGTTGCGAGTTACGGTGCCGGAACCTGACATCCACGTAAACGACAAGTCTATTTGGCTACAATATTAGATACACTCCAAGTGATATTGTACGTGGGGAATACAGAGAGGGATACGCCAGTTATGGCTGCGACGCCCAAGGCCTACATGCTTCTTTCTTTCCTCTGCCATGCTTACAAAATTCAATCAGTCAACGTGATCACCCCAGCTGCCCGGTATGTGGTCTCGCGGACTCGGACTGGAGTTGGAGCGCGCGCCACGCGTTCTACTTCCACTGTCGCTCCTCTGTTGTCCCGCTACCGCTACCGTTCCCTCGCCCTAGGCTACCGAAGATGCTGCTGAATAGGGACGGGCCACCTGAGCCATTGCGGTTGTGCGATGAGCCGCCGGGCGACGCAGGCCTCTGGCGGGGACTCGAGGGCGGACTCGAGGAAGAGCCTGGGAAGGCACCTGGCGGCGAGCGCGATGCAGAGCCGGAAGGTCCGCCAGAAGAGGACCCACGCGGCGGCGGAGACCCTGGCGCGTGGTGCTCGGGTTGTGGCACGAGTTGATACCTTCGAGGAATTTAATTGAGTTAAAGTTCGGCAAGGCGCGCAGATACGCACCGGCAGACAGGACATGTCCCGCTGGACTTAAGCCAAGGTATGATACACGGTTCATGGAAGGGATGTTTGCATGGTAGCGTGACGACAATGCGCTCGGTTTCTTCCTCGGCGTCGGCTTTGAACTGATCTTTGCAGATGGCGCAGTCTCGCTCTAGCAAGGGTGCTGACAGAAACGAGTTAGACACTCGATGATCTGTCGGTCGAGAATTGAGGCACGTACACCATCCTCGAGCATTCTCTAGGAAGTTTCGCCATGATGGCTTCTGTGGCAGGTATAGGATGGCCTGAATTCGAGTTCTCCATGATTTGTGTGATGATTTGGTCCAACGCTTCTTGATTGAAAACGTAGTCTCCCCAGCGACCGTCGTCTGCGCCTCCCGGCATACCCATCAAGGGGAAGAAGCCGTCCATGCCAGCGCCCGGTCTATTGCCTAGGATGGCGAGCAGATACTGAGCCATTAAAGGGCCGGCAATGCCTGGACCACCGTCTTGCCGAGTTTGTGAACCTCTCAAGAATCTGCGCTCGTTGCAAAATCATGTCCGATTAGGCGACTTGATCACTTACTCTGACAGCAACGGGGGCTGTTCCCTTCTCCTTGACGGTCTGTCCTTGATCACCTCGTCCTTGACTATCTCGTCGGCCTGCTGCACCACCTCCGATGATCATCGTACGTGATCTACCATCGGGCGAGCCTTGGATCCGTATTGTGAGCCCGTTGCCACCCCCTGCGCCCCATTAGTAAGTGACTCGTGCAAGGTGGCGCTTGAAACATACGGAACCTAATACACCGATACCAGAACCGTCTGGTCGGTTGCCCTGCGAGGCAGTGGGTGGTGTTGGCCTCCCCGCGAATTCTCGGTCAGGGCCCTGTAGAAGGGAACGCAGACCAGCTGGTGGAGGCGATGTTGGTAGTGTTATCATTAATGCTCGAATGACATACCAAGAAAGCCGTCCATATTGGCCGGTAGCGCATCCTCGTCAAACCCTTCGTGAACGTGTTGGAACTCGCGCGGGTCGTCCTCCGTGTTCTCTAGCTGCACGATCGCCCTCGGTGATAGTGCTGAACCGTGATAACAGCGAACGTACCATCTCTACAAAGGTCCCATTACACGACGCACAGTGGGGATCTGGAACCTAGAGAATGGTCACTGCAGTCCGCCCCGAGTACGTGACGCGAACTGACCATGAGCGGTCTCATCTCCGCATGGCACTGGCATCGAAGAGCTCAGCAGGACGCAAGCCGGAACACAGCTGCGCAAGTACCTCATGGCAATACCACATTGGTGCTCTGGTCGACATCGTTGCGGGATGAGCGCGGCACTCGACGAGGAGGCGTAGGAAGTAGTGTGCAAGTAAGTAGGCAGTGGGAGTAGCCACCAAGCCCGCGAATGACGTCCGCCGCACTCGCGCCTCCCTCGGGCGCAGCCTCGGCCATTGCCATTCCCAGCACGCGGCGTGCAAACACACGCACACAACGCGAACACGGCCACGCGACTGCCATTGTTCGAGTCGACCGACCCTCCTCGCCCCCTTCGCCCTGCTTACCTCCCACGAGACCTCCGGGTCACTTACGACGCCGCCATGGGCGAATACGATGAAGACGGCGGTCTGAACTTCCTGCTACCGCTTTCTCTGTTCTTTGCTGCCGGGATATGGCTTGTCATCAACCGCTTCCAAAGTTTTCATAACCGTGCCGTGCCTTTCAGGCTTGCGCCGCCTCCTGTGCGTCCCCTTCCTACGCCTTGCAACGTAGCTCATGATGACCCTGCTACAGGAAATCGGCCCGCGCTTCGAAGCGCACAAGATTCCAAACCCTAACCTGGAGTCTCATCAACTCTACCCGGAACTCAGGCCTTCAATATTCGTCGAGGGCGTCAGATATATCACTTGTTTCGACCCTGCTACCGGCTTCCATCTCGCCACATTGCCTGCGGACAATGCGGGTCAGATTACGAACAAGATCGCACGCGCAGCGGACGCCCAGAAGGAGTGGAAGAAGACCTCTTTCCGGGATCGCAGGCGTGTCATGCTCAGCTTGAAGAAATGGCTCGTCGATAACCAGGAAACATGTGCGAGGGTTGCGTGTCGGGATACCGGGAAGACTCGTGAGTATGAATCACCTAGGTTGTGCTTGTGCATGCATTGACCTCGCACCTTCTGCAGTGCTTGACGCTGCATTAGGAGAAATCCTGACTACATGTTCAAAGTTGGACTGGTTGATCAACCACGGAGAACGCCATCTCCGTCCGGAGAGGAGACGGGGCAACCTGCTCATGTTCTACAAGAAGTCTTGGGTTTGCTACGAGCCGCTCGGCGTCGTAGCGGCCATCGTGTCCTGGAATTATCGTGCGTTCATTCCGAAGAGACGGCGTATTCATTCTTACCTGCTTCTGCGCAGCCCTTCACAACGCCTGGTCGCCCATTATTGCTGCTCTTTTCTCCGGGAATGCTATTGTGCTCAAGTGCTCCGAGAATGTAGTCTGGTCGACGACGTGGTTCGTCAACGCAATCAGAGAGTGCCTCTGTGCATGCGGACGTGATCCTGAACTCATCCAGGTAGGTTGAGTCTAACCATGCTGAGGGTTTCAATTTGAGCTCAACGCGAACAGCTCGTGTGCTGCTATCCAGAGGACGCCGACGCGGTTACCAGATCCTCTATAATCCGTCACATCACCTTCATTGGGTCAGAGGAGGTCGGGCGTAAGGTAGCGGTGGCCGCAACCGAGCATCTCACCCCGGTCACTCTGGAACTCGGTGGAAAAGACCCAGCCATCATCATGCCGCATACCAACTTGAAACAATGGTCCAGTCTTTGGATGCGGGGTATATTGTGAGTGATCCGTCATACCTGTCTCCTCTCAACGCCTCCTGATTCTCTTTGCTCCAGCCAGAACGCAGGCCAGAACTGCATCGGCCTTGAGCGGCTCATCGTCCACAGCTCCCAGTACGACGAATTGCACGACATCATTCGACGGCGCACTGAGGAGCTGCGATGCGGCTCGGCTCTCTCGAACCCGGTGACGGGTTCGTACCCACCGTGGACGTCGGCGCGATGATCAACGAAGACAGGGTCGCTACACAGAGGAGCTCGTGCAGCTTGCTGCGGATGCCGGTCTCGAAGTCCAAGGCGGGGAGCGGTACAAGCATCCGTACCTAGAGCATGGCGCATACTTCACACCGACGGTCATCGGCGATGGCAACCCTGAGAAGGAGTACGCGCAGCAAGAGTGTAAGTAGACGTCTTCAGTGAGCGCGGTGGTAGCGCTAAGTCGAGCTTCTGGCCTGCAGTGTTCGCGCCCGTCGCGCTCATCATCAAGTATGAAACCATCCAGGAGGCCATCGACATCGCCAACGGCACTCGGTACGGTCTGGCGCGAGCGTATTCGGGCCCGACCAGGAGCAGTGCGTCAAGGTGGCGAGGCAGCTGGAGTGCGGCATGGTCTCCATCAACGACTTGGGGTGTTCTACGTAAGTGCCATGTTCGTTCTCACCGGAACTTGACCTGACCGACCTGCTCCGCAGTTGAAGTGAGTGGCCGCATCAGCGGTGACGGGTTAGACCCTGACATGATCCATCCCTTACAGCCAGGATCTTCCGTTTGGTGGCACGAAGTCAAGTGGTTACGGCAGGTTGGTGCGTGTGGTTGACAGACAAACGTGCATGGGTTGAGCTCACTCGCGTTTGCAATTGCAGGGGGCCTGAGGGTCTGCGAGCGCTGACACCACAAGGCGATCGTGGAGGACCGCTTCGGGTGGGCCATCCAAACGACGATCCCCAAGCAACTGACTACCCTGTCAGCTCAATCAAGGAGAGCTGGTACGTGTGCCTCCTCTCCCTTTTGCCTGCACAGCTGATGTGGTCTCGCAGGGAATTCGTGAGCGGGCTGATCGGTTTTGTCTACGGCGACAGCTGGCGGACGCGGATAGAGTCGCTCACGCAGCTCATCCAGGCGTCACGCAGATAGCGGGTCTACTTCCGGCGTGCCGTGGAACGATTTATGGATGATCTATGACAGGATGACACACTGTTTTTTGTTTTGTTTTCTATCTTAGCTGCGCTGCTGTACATACCTTGCGGGCTGACCGTCTTCTACATTTTTTAATTCTGAATCAAACGCTGTAACGCCGCACACCTCGGCAGCCCACCGGCATCGGGGCGCTGTATGGATGCACACGGTACCGCGGGGGTATGTACGGTGGGCTGAAAATATTGCCAATGCTGTCCATGACTGAGGCGTGTGGCGTCGAGGGATCGTAGGGAGGTCCCGGTCAGGGCGAATCGGAGGCATATTGAATTGAGTTGACAGCGGCAGTGATCAAGCCACCAAAGTGTGACATCGAGATCCTCGTGCTACGTGCCACCTGCCCTCGCGCGCGTCCATGCGACGAACGTTCTTATCCTCTCGCCTCCCCCGGGTATCTCAATTGCGCACCCAGCGTCCCGTCTGCAAACGTTCCTCCGCCTGTGCCCGAACCGCACCCGTTTCAGGCAGCGCAGCACGACGTCATGACAATCACCACCGCGTGAATCCCTGTCTAAATCCACAATTATATGTCTGTACCGCATGCTCGGTCGTCCGCGGCTGCGCGGGCCATTCTTAGACGGTGCGACGCAGAGATGGCTGCATACGTATGTGCGTGTCTAGCAAGCTCTTTGTGACGCGTTCCCCTCGCAAAGTGTCCGAGGCCGCGAATACGACGCGCACCAGGACACGCTTCCATTCCGGGAGCGACGAGGCACCGAAGCGTGTGCCATGCCGGTGCGGGACTTATCGCAGCGCACCCACACTGAGCAGCCTTCGTTGGCGTACGCGGTGCAGCTGCGCCATATGCAGCGAGCCGTCTCCATCATCAGATCCAGTACCGTGCCACGATGTGCCGAGGCTCCATCCGCCCATGGGCATATGCGTGCCGCGCAGAGAAGGCGGCGAATCCGAAGGCAGTTGCCACACCAGGCGCAGCTACGTACATAAACGTGGGACGGCCTCCGACGGGCAGAGCAGTCTCTAAACCCGACGTCCCCCCGCCGAGCTCACCTGCATATAGCTAGCTCTATATTCCCCGGACTGCACGACTACGACACTCCGACCCAAGGATGCTCGCGCCCATCGTACTTGCGGCTGCTGCCCTCGCTACCAGCCCCGTCGTGGCGATGCGGTCGATGAAGCCTCTGGGGGACACGGAGGGCGTGCTGAACGCCGCCGCCGCCAGTTGCAGCTCGTCCCTGCCTGCGTCCTGCCAGAACTCCACCGCGGAGACGGACCTCTGCTGCTTCGAGGGTCTGGTACGTACTCTGTCATGGCCACCTCTACTGCAATTCGTCTGACGGCCGTACGCAGGGATTGATCCAACAGGTCCAGGTGCGTACAGTCATCTCCAGCACGGACCGACTGTTCAAACGATGCGGTGCCGTGGTGCTTTAGTTCTGGGAACCGACCCTGTGACGGGTCCTACGAACAGCTGGACGATCCACGGTCTCTGGCCGAACTCGTGCGTATATGCGATGACTGAAGGATGAACTTACCCAGAAGCGCATGTAGCTGCGACGGTGAATATCCTGAAAACTGCGACTCTTCGCGCGATTATACGGACATCACCTCGGTGAGACGCGTCGCTGCGTTCGCGCGTGCACGCGTGTTGACGTGAGATGCGGTGACAACAGCTGCTCGAGGACCAGGGTGCGAGCGACACCCTCGATTACATGAACACGGTACGCGACTGCGCAGATCGAGAGACGTCGAAGGGTGCTCACATCCGATTAGTACTGGCTCAGCGACGACGAGTCGAACGAGAAATTCTGGGAGGTGTGTAGCGCCTCTCCCCCTCATGAACGGCATTGACGTGCTCGCTACTCAGCACGAATGGGACACGCACGGCACGTGCTACACCACCCTCGAAAGCTCTTGCTTCAGCGACTACGAGACCGGCGAGGACGTACGCATCCCATGCACTCGCCCTCATGATCATCCGTCCTGACGCGCACGTCCCCCCGACAGGCCGTCACGTTCTTCGAGACGGTCGTCACCCTCTTCAAGACGCTCCCGACGTACGACTGGCTGTCCAGCGCGGGCATCACGCCCTCGAGCAGCCAGACCTACACGCTCGACGAGCTCCAGGCGGCCGTGCAGAATGCGACTGGTGTACGTCGTGTCATCACGACGCTCGGCTCGTACGCTGACACGAGAGACGCAGGTCTCTGCCTCGTTCGACTGCGACGACGACGAGCTCTACCAGATCGAGTACTGGTTCAACGTCCAGGGCCCCGTCCCGAGCGGTGACTTCGTCGCTATCGGTACGTCTCCCGCTTCTCCTCCAAGACGTCATGGCATCGAACGTACTCAACGCTGACGGTGTTATAGATGCCTACGAGGCCGGTTCGTGCAAGTCGAGCGGCATCAAGTACCTGCCGAAAAGCTCGGACGACGCCTCGAGGAAGCGCTCGCAGATCAGGAAGCGCAACGCGAGGAGGCACCCGAGGCGGCGCCGCTCGGTCGCAAGACTGACCGACGAGGTGTAGACGCGCTCGATTCGCCATTGTGCAAGAGCATGGATGAGGGACATTTTGTAGGCGATATGACATTGGTGAGAGCAGGATACGCCCCTGTAACGATGTGTGCAATTGTACGTGTGTGCCACTAAGTACTGTAAAACGGAATTCGAATCGAATCGGCAGAACGGGCTTCCTGAATATACAGTGTGCCGTCAAACTTGTACGCGTTCCTCGTGTAATGCTCTACATATGTACATGCAATCCGCGCGAACGTTTGCTCTCCGAGGTCCACCGGTTTGTGCGTACTCTAGATCTCGAGACGCGCGAACTCGGAGGGTACATACATGCATGTCATGCGGATCGTAAGCTGTGGCCGGGGACCTCCCGATCAGGCAACACCACTTCCATTCTCAGCCTGCAACTCGCTACGCTCTCCTCCCTCCCCACCTCTCCACAAAATTCCGTCCCATCCTTCAATTTTCCGTCACAGTTCCCTTAGCGACGGCCCCATCTGTCCTGCTTCGCTCGCTAAGCGATACCCGCTTGTGTTCCGTGAAATCCTGAGACTTGACGTCAGCCCTTTGGTGCACTTGCGCGGAGGCGCGGTTTCGCGGTGGTGTTGTTGAGCGATGCCGACCAATACTCTTAGGCGAGCGGTGGGTTGTAAAATTCCGAGTATACTTCGCAGAAGACGACGGGGCCATCAGCGGACACATACTAATGAGGGCGCGAATGATGTCACCGAGAGGTGGTCAAAGGTATATAAGACCTGCGATGGTCGCGAACTTACTTCCCGTCCGTGAACTAAAACCTTGTCTTCGCATCTACCATCACACTCGTAGACTTCCACACGCACACTGTCAACCATGTCCGAGCAACACGCGCAGAATGTGAGTACTGTACGCTCCTGCCCAACCTTCATCTGCGCTTACAATTGTCCATGCATAGGTTGCCCGCGGCCACAAGGCGGCGATTAACAACCCAAACGTCTCCGAGGAGGCGAAGCAGAACTCGCGTCGTGCCCTCGCTGAGCTGGAGGGCTCCGAGAACCCGGAGGACTTCACTGCCTCCGTGGGAAGCGACAAGACGCAGGACTACGACCCTCGTAGGGCTTCCGAACTCGGGGCTAAGAACGATGTATGTCACGTCTGCCCCTCTTCAGACGTGCTTTGGCTGATGTGTCTTCCAGGACTTGCGCTTCGGTAGGCGTGGCGCGTCTCAGGAAGTCTGAACTGATGGGGAACGAGTAGAAACTGAAGTCCATCTCGTTGTACATGTACTATAACGTGTTCGTATGGATGATTCGAACCTATCTTGAAACGCAACACAACAGTCAATGAGTCGCTCAATATGACACTGGAAATTCAGCCTACCCGAGACCATGTCTCATGTCGCCGATGCATGATCAATCAGACTACAGGTCCGCCGAACTCGTCAGGAAATTCGTTCCGTCCGAGTTTCGCTCTGTGTGCGATGGTCAGTCAGTCGTGGCATGATTGTCAAACAGTATCTCCGGTACTCACTAGTATCGCGAAAGAGAAGGCGTCATCAGGGCCAAGCTACAACACTAGAATTCAAGCACTGTACCTCAGCTGTGTGACTGTCGAGCTCGCGCCTGATGGAAGGAGGCAATGTTGGCACACATGCTCTACGAGAAAAAGGACCTGACTCACTGTAGCAGGGTAATCAATTTCATGGTTCATGAAGAAAAAGCTGGGCGTACCTCATCACGCGCATTCTGTTTCATCGAAGAGATGGTGTCTCCGACCTTGTCCTTGAACGATTCCCACTTGCTGGGCTCGCCGCTGGATTGTGCACCGTCCGGGGGGTCAAGCTCGCCCGTTTTGGACGCATCATGACGTGGCTAGGCCAACCAAGATTTAGCAGCAAGCAGAAGAATTAATGATAGCAAGAGCCTACGTTAGATACGTGCACTTCGTCAGCCATGGCGGGAAAAAATTGAGTCCGACGCTAGGTGAAGTTTGAGGGGGGATGATGTGCGGGGGGAAAGTGTGTTGACCATGTTGCCAACGGTGCGCACATTTTTATACATTCTCCGCTCTATGTGTGATAGGGACGCGAACTCACTTGAGTGTATGTCGAGAATTCGAACGTAGCTAAGAACCGTCGATCTGCCTTTTCACACTGGCACGTCCAAGTCGGGAAAGAGCTTGCCTATGGGAGCTGCTGAGCGCTGAAGCAGGCGCCCAGCGACGCGCACCGCGGTTGTCCCTTCAGGCAGCCTGGTTGCTTGCGCCGTCATACACCCACTCGCAACAATTCGTTGATCTTTCAAATCGCAATCGGGAATGGTCTGCTCGCTGCGCACTGTGCATGAAGGTCAAGTCACGGCTTGGACCGCCTCTGATGCTCGGACCCGACTAGAAACACAGTTTGCGGCCCCGGGAAGGAGCGGCGATCCACATCAACAGTACTGGGCTTGGTCAGACTGCGCACGCCTGCCTTGTTGTCGTACAGACTAACCCATGGTCAGTACCCATGGTCACCTGGCCACCTTCAATGGGTACGCCGAGCATCCGAGCATGCCAGCGACGGCGTACGACTTCATATATGTCGTAGAATGCCGTATGAAGTACCATTGGGGTACTGACCTCGGGTCTAGTCGTAATTGTCAGGTTTATCCTGCAAATCAAAGTCCTGCACTCACAGGTCATTCGGCTGCACGTTCAAGTTCGTGCCTGCATGATGCTCCGCTGCGCCTTTGCCGCTCGCAGTCTGATCACACAGTCATCTTGCATCCCCCCACTTTGCCTCTCAGCATGTTCTCTCATCAGAGCGATACACTGACCCTCTCCGTGTCGTCTGATCCTACTCCACATTAGATGTCGCAGGCCTCCCGAACGTCGCAACTCGCATCGAAGTGACCTCTCAAGTCAATCTGACCTTGGATTGCGCATTGGAGGATGACGAAGGCATCGCAGGCTACGCACACTTCGCTAATGCGGCGGGTGTGGAAGATAAGCACATGTTCTGGTGGTACGTCCCGAATCCTCGTGTTTCTACTAGGGGCATGCTAACCCACATTGTTGAACTCACGAAGGTTGTTCAAGGCGCGGAAGGATGGAGGATGCCCCGGTCGTGTTGGTGCATGGAGGAGGCCCTGGAAGCTCCGGCATGTTTATGGCGTTCAGTGGTGCCGGGTGCGTGATGAGTCTTCGATGCTGCATATGTCGGTTTTCGACGATACGCTGGTATGCTTTAGGCACTGCCGGCTTGCTGTCGACGAGCATGGCCACGGCACGCTTATCCCCGCGCAGTACTCCTGGACGGACGAGTGAACGTCCTGGCTGTTGACTATGTGAGCAATGACATTTGGACCACTCTCGATCTTTGTGCTGTGACTGAATAGAACAATGGATGTAGCCAGTTGGGGCGGGTTTCTCATATGGCGCACAAAGCTCCCTGCGGAACAGCAGCGAACGCGCTGCTTGGGACTTGGATGACTTCTTACAAGCCTTCTGGGCGTAAGTCCTACACCCATGCGCCCTTGGAAGCGTATCTGACGTTATATCGACTAGCGCATATCCTGAACTCGCAAAGTGCGCCCTTTCTCGCGGACCGTAATTTCACCCTGACTCAATGTTGGCACAGAAATAAGTTCTTGTATCAGTCAGCGTCATATGGCGGCGTTTTGTGCGCATACACGAGTTCTTGTCGGAGAGCCTCATATTTGATGACTGATCTATGCAGCATACCAAACACGGTCAATGTCATACACTTGCGAAACCTCGCAGCACAGGCAAGCCCGTCAAGCACACGCCTGTTGAAAATGCCCGACTCTGTGCGTACGCAACGTTCACTCTTGGATTTTCCCTCACGCTCAGATCGCTGTTTAACCGTCCATGATTCAACTGCCTATAGATCATGATTGGCAACGGCATGTCCGACTTCGCCCTCAACTGGCGCTACTGGATTCAAGGTAACTGCTACGACAACCCCATCTTCAATCGCACTGGCTGCGATCTCGCCGCCGCACTCATACCCGCATGCCTCGACGCGACACAGCTCGCATACGAGGAGCCAAGCGCAGAGACGCGCGCGCGAGCGGACGTGTTGTGCATGGACATCTACGACCACGTCTCGGATGTCGGCTCGACAGGCAGGAATCCGTATCACGCGACGCAGAAGTGCGACTTCAAGGACACGCTGAGCTGCTTCCCCGAGATGGGCTGGTTGAACGAGGTCATGAATCAAAGCGCGGTGCGCAGAGTGGTGGGTTCGGTGTGGGCTGTGTGTCTGTTGAGGCGTGCTGACTTGTGCCGTGGTGGTGCCAGATTGGCGTGTCTGCCGACTATGAGTATACCTTCTCGGACAGGAAGCATGTCTTCGAGCCTTTTCATGCCAATGGCGATATGTGAGCTCGCCTGCGCGTCGAGAAATCTTGTTCGGACACTGATTAATGATTGGTTTGTAGCGTACAGTCCGCATATAAGCTCCTCGCACCTGCTATCGAGGCAGGCCTTCGTGTGATGGGTAATAGTCTCTGCATAGCCGAGTGCATCGTAAGCCATTAGCTCACTCAGGCTGTCCTTGGCAGTGTACAACGGAAACACGGATGGAGTCTGCACCTGGCGAAGTGGTCTTGCGTGGGTACGCATAACATCTTCGTCGCTATGGCGTCTCCTGATCAGGAATCCGTGCAGATGGAGTTGCTGAAGACTAAATACCGCGACGACTTCAACGCTGCACCTGACGTGGATTGGCCAGGCATCGGCTGGGTGCGCGCAGTTGGCGAGGGCGCAGGCGACTATGCATTCGTGAGCATCGATAATGCGGGTCATTGTGAGTCGATCGACATTCCAGGTCTGATCGCTTCCGCTGACCGCTATATGCGCCCCTTGCGTAGTTGCAGAGTGGGATCGCGAGGAGGCGTATAGGGAGATATTGCTCAAGTGGCTGAAGAACGAGCCGCTCGGACCGTCGTCGAATGCTAACGTCGGAATTTCGGTCTGAATGGCACGGTCTTGTTCTTAACACTGGGATGCTTATCGGCCACGGCTAGACGATTCGGCGGCTTGTTACTCGCATGGAACGCGTCAGCCTTCTGCATATCGAAAACTGGTTCCCCGTTATTCGATGAGGTACCACCAAGGTCGACTACTGAGCGATTTCACAGTACTGGACTGAAGCGCCCTCGGATCGTATCCAAAGCGTGCGGTAGGTGCAATTTCCGGATCTGTATTGCCCAGCCCGCTCAACAGTCCCTCATTGTACGGCATCCAAACTCAATAAACTGGGCACTGCTTCCGTGTACACTCCGGAGCGCTGACTTCATGTAATAGAAGAAAGGAATTCACGATAACGACCATGTTTCGGAAGATGCACTTCGCATTGCGCTACCGTATCCCTTCAACGTGTCTGGCCGAGAGCTATGAGTTGACATGATGAGGCCCTATAAGTCGCCCTCGAGTTCCAGCCGCTTCTCCGAGCATCTCATCGTCCGCGCCTCTGTGCTAGACAGCCAATTGACCGGGACGTCTCACTGCCGGCGATTCATTGCGGATACGGTCTCGCTGTCTGAACATTCTAATACACATCCTCTTTGGCTACGTGAACCGCGGTATCAGGCTCATTACAGTAGTGTTTACGTGCGATGGTTGTGTACAGCCCGCTGGCAGGTGTCGGACACTGGTGGAAACGCTTCGGTTCCGCGTGGACATGCATTCGAACCTGCCTCGTGTTGCATAGACATCGATTGGACACTGCTTCTACTATGTATGCAGCTCATGTTGACGGAGTATAATCACTTGAGAACTCGACGGGAAATTGAGCGGCGTTACGGTATGTATAGGAGAAGTCCGTGCGCTTTCTCTGTCCGGTCGGAAACAAGGATTCTTCCTGTTGTACAGACACAAATGGCATCCGCGGACCATTGTTCAAGCTGCCATAACACCATATTCTTAATCAACGCCTCGATGGCTAGGCAACAATCTTAGTTTCCGAGAGAAGACCCTTCGTTCCAATGAACGGAGGTGAGTTGGTCATCTGCCGACCCTCCGTCCCCCACACCGACCCACATCCAACGGCTCCGTCGTGCCTGAGCCGCGTCCCGTTTTTTTCCACCGGGTTAAGCGGGCGTTATACTGTTGCATACTTTTGAGGTATGTGGGCGTGATGTTGGAAGGATACATACGACATCCGTGGAGGCGGGCTCTGTACGAGATGGATGTGGGTAAACAAAGTCATGCACCACGCACGCTTCCCCACTGCCGTTGTCCTGTACAGAGTCGAGGAAAGCGTAGGTCCATTTGCATGCTGTTACTTACCGCTGCCGCCGGCAGGTAACTGCTCGTTCCTCAGACGGCGATATCTTGGACATACTCAGTCTGAATCACGAGACGTCCGACTCAGGGCCCAAAGGACGCCCGCTTGGTTCCTCAACATACCAGTCACCTGTTTTGACAAGCTGCGGGGCTTGTATCGACTGCCAGGATACTCGGCGCTGCGTTCTATCTTCGCCGTAAGGACGAGCTCCGTCAGGAACTCGGTCACCTGTCTTGCAGGGTCTACGTGGTGTGTGATCACGTCTGCATACTCCTTGAATCGCCGTGAGAAGGATGTACCAACTCCCGTCTTCCGCTCCTACCGGGCTAAGACTGCAAAGGGCAAGTAGCGAGAGTGTGGGCCAACGAGAAGACGGGGAGGCGCCAGACTCAACTCTAATCTGGTCGCCTGACCTGTACTGCATCGACCGGACTGTATTGCAGTGTTGGCATAAACGACCAACGCCCAGCGAATCTACGCCTAGTCGCACGCATAGGGGAAGGCGACGGAAGCACAGTGTATGGATCCATTTAGTTCGTTGTGAGCTCCAGCCGACGAAGACTCAGGGTGCATCCCAGTGGAAAATATGCCGAGATACGAAGGTGCCAGGCGGCAAGCTGAATGACTATATCGACTCCCTGGCTCAACCCGACGTGCTTCTCCTGTTGGAAGCAATGGCTGGAATGCATTGCTGTGATAGCCGCCCTATATTGCTCGCGTTATGAGCGATGAGCGGCGACGGCGTTGCTTACCCTGCGTTGCCTTCTGCGGACACGGACATGAATCATTCTGGAAGCGCTATCCGCTCAGCGAGAGATGGCACTGTCCGGCAGAGCAAGCGGACATGGTGCTAGAGCGACCCTAGGAATTGGCCAGGGCACGCATTCCGGCAGCCGCTCCTCATACTTACAAGCTGACACAGAGGCTTCAATGCTCGTCCTGAATAGTTGACCCCCAAAGGATGTAACGATGCTTATGAGACGTCGATTGGCAACGTACCGAGTGGAGTAGCGAGAATCAGGGCATCGGAGGCAAGTTGGAGACGTAATTTTGACCACCGCTTGGACCAGATGTCGTGATGGAACGCTCAGGCGTTCAAGTCATATGGCACGCGAAGCGCGCTCTCGAAAGGATGAGCGTAAGGAATCATCACGATCACAGTAGCATCTGCAGACTGGCGGTTGAGACTGGTGCGCTGCAATGCGATCTAAGTATACGGAGTTGGTCCACTTTTGAAGCCTTAGTGTGCTCACCGATGCTCAGGCCGATGCTGTTATAATGCATGATGAGGGGATCATATATTGGCCAGACGCTAGAACATGAGTGGAGTGACTGAGAAAGAAGGTTGTGCGAACGAAAAGGAGGTGCAAGTTGGATTAGGTCACCGAGCCAGACAGACACGTACTAAGCAGCGATCGACGTCACTCGCCTCGTGAGATTTCAGAAGTTACCTCCACGCTGCCTCGTAGATTGTGACGAATGCCTGTATTTGTACGTGTGATACTACTCACGATGGAGCGCAGAAGGTGAGTGAACCAAGCGATGGACTGCTTGACTCAATCGTCTCGACCGGGAGGTGGCTGATATACGTATGCGAACGTGTCAAATATTTGCTGCTCACCAGCACCCCGCGCGCTGACGTCCACTCGCTGCGAACTGCAACGTTGCCTGGCGGCCTGACATTTTGTCAAGTAGAGGTCCTGAGTAAGGCCGGCTCAGTCGATAGCAGGCCGGGATCGAAGGTGGTGGGCGATAGGAACGTCGACGGTGGTGTTGCGCCATTCGGACGATTCCACCGCCTGGACGAGTCCGTTGTGGAGAATAGTGGGCTCGTCGTTCCGCAAGACGCTGTGGAGGTCGCCCTCGTCCAGGCACCGCAGACGCATAACTGAAAACGCAGAAACGGTGCGAGAAAGACGAACAAGACAGGTCGAAAACGGGGGAATGATATGTGCGATCCGTGGGCGCAGCATGTCGGCTTTGCGGCGCGTGCTCTCACGGCGTCTGGGACGGGCGGCGAGAAGGCGGGAAGCGGCGGCGGCGGCGGCCACGCGACCGGAATCAGATAACTGTCGGCGCCGTCGCTGCCAAAAGAGGCGAACGCTGGCCGACGGCGCGCGCCCGAGCTCCGGCCGCCACTTGATAAGGCGGGCGGTGATGTCACCTCCCTCGAAAACCAAGCAGCTCCGCCCAAAACGGCAGCCGACAAGGTCTGGAAGACGCGTCCGACGTCTTTGTTCTGCAACATCCACCATCTCCTGATCTCGCTCAGGTGCTCTTTCTCTCCCCTACAACCACATATAAAGGTGCGTATCTCTGTCCTGCTCGCCACTATACCACCCGCGTCCCATATCACGAGCTACCAACGCAGTGCCCGCACATACCCATTGCTTGTCTGTATAATACCCTCTCATTGACGCACCCCACCACATCCTACCCACTATGGGTGACACAATGGCTGACTACTTTCCTCGTACTGTTTCAGAAGACCAGGGCTACTATTCCGAAGAGATGTCCGACGAGGTCGTTCCCAACGGCGCAGCACCTCCCAATGAGCCCACCAAGACCAAGGGCATGCCCAATAAGATGTCCCTTAAGCTGTCCCACTTGCCGAGCAAGAAGGAGATCAAGGTCGTGTACCCCCGTACCCCTTCGTCTGTACGTGTCTTTGTTGCGTTCCTTGATCAGTGCATTCCTTCGAGCCATGGCGCTTTCAACACCACCCTCATCCCTGCTGGGCATGCCATATATGCGTATGAACCGCATATATCGACCCTACCGTTGTCGTTACCCACATCGCGCAGCACGTAGTGACGCCCGTGGCTCTGCATGATACCAGTCACGACCGAAGTACCACTGTGCTGACGATACACTTCCAGATTGATCCCAACAACCCGCCATGGCCCGCGTTCCGTGGCTACCACACGTTCGTGCTCGTCCCCACAGCGTCTCATCTAACACGTTTGCTGACATCAATGTGCGTAGGTACTCCTTCGCATATGCCACGATGGGCCACCGCCTGCCAACTATCCTTGGCAAGGCCATCGATGACGTGATTGAGACACTCAACCAGGAGTCGGAGGAGGACCGTGTCAAAGATCTTGTCGAGTGCATCGAGCGTATGGAACAGCTCAAGATTGACCTTGAGACACACGCCAAGTTGCGCCCCGTTGTCGACGACGGTGAGGCAGACGTTGCGCTCTGGAACAAGGAGATCGCCAAGTTCTTCCAAGGTCAGTACATGTCACTTACGTTCGGCGCCGAATGGCGAAACGTCCACTTTCGTTGCCATATGAGGCAATATAACTTCCTTATCGGGACTGTCCATTGGCAGAGCGTGCTCATTCAAACCGTTCCTTTACTCAACAGGCAAAGACTTCATGAACGCGCCGTGGCTGTTTGCGGAGGCGTACAAATACCGTCGACTCCGCGAGTGTTTCAGCGTCAGCAAGTATTGGCAACAATATGATGTTTTCTTCAGGCAGAAGGTATGTGTGCTTCGCAAGATGTCTAGCATCCACTTATTTACTCGCATCTTCTAGTGTGACACGTTCTCTCGGTCAAGCGATGCCGTCTTTGAGCTTTCAACGCGTTTCGTCGAGCCATTCAAGCACAAGGAAGGCTTATCCGTTCCGGACAGGACCGAAGCGGAGCGGTTGATGTTCATGGAACTGACGCAGAGTATGTTCTGTGTCATATTGTGAGAGGCCCGCGCTGAGATCACGATTTCAGTTTGTCTTTGGGGAAACTCAACCGATTTGTCCCTACTTATCAACATGACCGAGGAACAGATCAAGTCACTACAGTCAACCGGTGGTGAGAACCTTGCTGCGACCGAGAAGAACATTCTCGGCAACGACATGGCCCGTCTTTGGGAGATTGTCAACGATCTCAGAGGCAACACTGGTGGCCGCGTCGACTTCGTGCTCGATAATGCCGGTTTCGAGTTGTACTGTGATTGTGTCTACGGTACGTGGCAAGCAAGACGCGGTATCTGCACGCAGCCCACCCTTACGACGATCCCATCACAGCGGACTTCCTGATTCAAAGTGGTTTGGCGAAAGAGGTTCGTTTCCATGGGAAGCGTTACCCGTGGTTCGTCTCGGACGTCACCAAGAAGGATTGGAATTGGTTGCTCAACTCTATGGTATATGGGCACCTCTTCCCGAAGTCCACCGACGCCGAGATGGAGAGCTTGAGGCGCCTAGGTCTCCGGTGGAAGGCGAGTGAACGTCCCATCGAGAAACGAGTACAACGCTGACGCAATGCTGCAGGAATACGAAAGGGAGGGCAAATGGGTGTACGAACAGCACCCCTTCTGGTGCACTGGGTACACCTACTGGGACCTACACAGCGAGGCTCCGGATCTGTTCCTCCACCTCTCGAGATCGGACCTCGTCATCTTCAAGGGTGACCTCAACCACCGGAAGCTCACCTATGATTGTGCTGCCCCGTCGTCGACGGAGTTCGACATCGCTATCGGCCCCATGGCCTCTGCGGCTGGCGCTCCACGTGTCTGCAGTATGCGCACGATCAAGAGTGACGTAGTCGTTGGTCTTGGTCCGGATGGTGATGCGCTCGCGGAGAAGCTCGAAAAGGAAGAGCCTGGCTGGAGGATCAGCGGCAAATACGTGCGTCCTCTGCCTAAGAAAGTCTACGTCTGATCCACACGCTGATGCATGGGATTCATAGGCTGTTATCCTCCTTTCCGACGGCCGTCCTGGGGAGAAGGTCCGCTTCGCATAAACAGCAGCGAGCGAAAGACGACTTCTGAGGAGGGAAAGACGGACTTCGACGAATGAAAATTACTGGATGTCACTACTAGAAGGCTCATACAACTATCTATGCACTGGGATACGATGACCGGCGTGGCGGATATGACGGTCACGTGTGAAGCGAGGCGTACCAGCAGCCCGCCTCATTATTACTGAGTGAGCTTGGATGGTCAGTTGCAAGAGAGCGAGAGGGGAATGATTGGCGGTGTGGGGCGCAGCCCGCAGGGCTGCCCGACTCGAAGAGTGTGCCTGGACCTGAGGGGCAACGGGTGAGCCGCGAGGGCGGGCGGGTTGATACCGCAGCCCTGCGCTCCCATTGCCACTGCTGGGCCGCAGGGTAGACACGTCGAGCCAAAAACAAAACAAAACAAAGACAAAAACAAAACAAATCTATAAAGAAAAAAGCACACATTGGGTTTTTGGCGGCGTGTGCTGCGTGAAGAGGGTGTGGAGGGTGGGGAAAACGAGAGCTATTCGAAGGGCGTAGCAGCCGCGGAGCCTTCGAGAGCGGTCGTCCGAGTGGGCGCGCAGAGGAGAGCGATGCGCGCCTAAATCTCCTCCTGCATGCGTAGACTCACTTCTACGCGACGCTCGTGCCTCGCTTCACTTAGAATACCATCTATGCACTGGGATACGATGACCGGCGTGGCGGATATGACGGTCACGTGTGAAGCGAGGCGTACCAGCAGCCCGCCTCATTATTACTGAGTGAGCTTGGATGGTCAGTTGCAAGAGAGCGAGAGGGGAATGATTGGCGGTGTGGGGCGCAGCCCGCAGGGCTGCCCGACTCGAAGAGTGTGCCTGGACCTGAGGGGCAACGGGTGAGCCGCGATACCCAATATGAAGACGTCGAGTACGGCGGCGCGTTGCGGCGAAGCCGTTACCCCCAGTCCAGAAGCCGACGAGCCTCGTCGTACATGCTCTGTGAGCCAGTGTCCAACACTGATGACGCCAATGACCCGTATTGCTGATCAACCGGTTCGCAGAGTCCCGCCGGATGGGCGCCGCGAAGCAAACATCGCTCCGCTGACCCTAGGAGGAGCAGTGCCGTGTCGTGCTCATCGAACCCGGTGTGTCCAGCCTGACTCGTGTGCAGTGGATGACACGAGTTCGTTACGCTCGTGCCGACACGAGCCAGTGCCAGTGTAAGCGTGCTGCTGCTGCATGCTCCTGACTCGTGTGCAGTGAATGACACGAGCGTGTTATGCTCGTGCCGACACGAGCCAGTGTAAGCGTGCTGCGTCCAGCCCGACCCGTGTGTGACACTCGCTGGCTATGAGCTCGTGCTGACACGAGCCGGTGTAAGCATACTGCGTCCAGCCTGACCCGGTGTGACACTCGCTGGCTATGAGCTCGTGCTGACGCGAGCCAGTATAAGCCTGCTGCGTCCAGCCTGACTCGTGTGTGACACTCGCTGGCTATGAGCTCGTGCTGACACGAGCCAGTGAAGCATACTGCGTCCAGTGTAAGCATGTTGCCTCCAGCCTGACTCGCGTGTGCATGACACGAGCTAGCGATGCTCGTGCCGACGCGAGCCAGTGTAAGCGTGTTGCGTGCAGCATGAAAGAAACTCAGCGGGTTGGTCCCGCCCGGCGACCAGTGAGCGAGAGCGCTGGTGACGGAGCACTGGGCGGCGGTCGAAGGACTCGGAGTCGGACAGTCCACAATGGCAACCGCTGCTCGCTCAGCTGGATGCTCATGTCGGACGAGCTTGCGAGACAGAGACTACGACTCTGTGTTGACCATCCTCCACGCATTTGTGAGTGGTACAATCATTTGGTCGTTGCTCACATAATCCGGCTCTTCGTCGCCATCGGGATTGATGAGCGAAGGTTGTACCATAGTCCCCTTCCTGTAAGCTACAAGTGGTGTAGTCTTAGTGGAAGAAAACGAGAGCTATTCGAAGGGCGTAGCAGCCGCGGAGCCTTCGAGAGCGGTCGTCCGAGTGGGCGCGCAGAGGAGAGCGATGCGCGCCTAAATCTCCTCCTGCATGCGTAGACTCACTTCTACGCGACGCTCGTGCCTCGCTTCACTTAGAATACCATTAATCCTGTACCCACTTGTATTCTCGCAGTCGCCCACTCTGTATCATGTGTTCCTCCCCTCGTCGTGCATCTTCCTTTTGTCGCTTGTTCACACTCGGTACCTAGGATCTGTATATCACGTAGGATGGACCTCGAATACAACACCAGACACGGCTGGGCCATCAAGTACAAGATGTTATGTACGTGTGCATGGAGCAGGAGAATGACTATGGCTACAACTGAGATCAACATGTATGTAAATAATCAAAGCTTACGCTGCAACTTCTACCACCCTATCAACTTTCATGGCAGACCCATCAGTACTGTCCAAGTCGTCGAGTTCGTCAAACAAACCGCCGTCCATCTCCCCTAATAGGTAGTCGACCACATAGCTGTCCTGAAGCAAGCGGTCCATCCTCGTGAGGTGTCGCTCCGTGTAGGGGATGACTGCCTCGACCCAGTCCTTGAGGCTGGTGCCACCACGTCCTTCGCCCTTTGCACCTACGCTAACGCTGAGTGTCCCATCAGTGTCCGTGACTCCTGCACCAGCGCTGAGGTCGTCGCCGAAGCCGAAAGCATGGGATATATCGTCCGCGGGCCGGAGCTTGAGTAGGGCGTGCAAGACGCGCTGCGCGACGGCGCTCGTCTTTGCGGTGGCATTCCACAAGCGAATGTAGCGCAGAAGACGGGCGAGATCCGTAGTTGTGAGCGTGCGGAGGATGGTGTCGACTGAGGGGTGGCCAGAAAACGATGGCTGGCGAAGCTCCGAGGTGTCGGCGGACTCCGACTGGATGGATCTGAAGAGCTTGAGCAGCCTCCCGGGCTGGTCCATCGCGAGCGCGAGCTGGATGGCGTTGCGATAGTCTTGCAAGGTGAGGTAGTTCATGAAGTCTTGCTCTCTGTGGGAGGTTAGGGTTAGGGTCAGTCGAGCAGATGAGCAAACGGGCTCACTTTTGGACGAGCTCTGCGCGTCTGGATTGTTTCTCGAGTTCTTGTTCTTCCGTGCAGTCTTGCCAGAAAGTGACCACTGAATCGGCTGCTCCGGATACGATCGTCGACTCGTCCTTGCTCACAGCGAGCGCCCAGACCTGTGGCATTGTGGGTTTAGCTTCTTCCCGCGAAGAACCATCGACGCCAGCTCACCTTGTCTTCGTGATTGTCCACCGTAGCGACGCATTCTTCATCCCGCACATTCCAGAGCTTGACCAGCCCGTCACTCGCGGAGCTCACCATCTGCATCCCGGCATTCACGAAATCGACCCTCAACACTGAGTTGGTATGGCCCTCGAACGTCTTCAGACACGTAGAGTCGTCCAGACTCCAGAGCTTGACCGTCTTGTCCCCGCTGCCCGTCGCGAGCACGCGCTCGGCACGCCCAAAACGCACGCACCACACGCCGCGCTTGTGGCCCTTGCACGTCCCGAGGAGACGCACCTCCCCGCGCACCCCCGCGCTCGTGGTGACGTAGTCGATCTCCCAGATCTTCGCGGTGCGGTCTTGGGAGCCGGAGGCGAGCAGGCGATCGTTCGGCGAGACGTCGAGGGAGTTGATGTCCTTGTCGTGCGCTTTGTGCGTGGTCAAGCTCTTCAGCTTTAGCGTGCTCGGCCCCGCGCCGTCTCCATCCGCGTCATCCTCCCCGGAGGATGTGTAGGATATTGGTACGTTGGATAGGTCCCACATCTTGATCGTCCGGTCTTGGCTGCCTGTGAACATGAAGCGCAGCTCCGAGTCCGTCTTCCGCGACATAGCAACTGCGCCTACGCTCTCGGCATGCCCTTCGCAAACGGCGACGCAGCCCCACTCTGGCACAGCGGCACTGGGGTCGCTCGAAGCTGCAGGGGCCCAGAGACGTGCTGAGCGATCCTTGCTACCGCTCGCTAGTACGCGTCCACCCGCGCCCTGGTCGAGGCAGAGCACGATCTCCGAGTGTCCGGTGAGCAGGCGCGCGTCAAGGGACGTTGTGGAGTAAACTCGGACGAGAGAAGAGTTCGTGGCGAGTGCAACATGCGTGTCTGTGAGTTTCGAAGACGACGCGCTGGCTTGCGCGGGTAGGTACGGGGAGAGGAACGTCGCGTCGACGATTTCGTCGTTGAAGCCAATCAGTTGCTGCGTAAGGGACTTGCTCGTCAGGGAGTGGAACAGGATGTTCTGGTCCGCATGTACGGACACTATCGTAGATGTGGCAGGAACGTAGCTAGGAGACCCGTTAGATGGCTGAGAAAGGTCCAAGAGTGACCCCGCTTACATGCTGTCAACAATCTGGCGTTGCTCCTCCTGATCATCTCCGCCTTCTTGCTCGTGACCCAGAGTAAATAGAACCGTGCCTTCACGGGCGTCCCAAATACGGACGACGCCTTTTTGCCCGCCTGTGTAGAAACGGAGCTTTCCAGATCCCGAGGGGGAACCAGCGAGGTCTTCGTCCGGCCGAAGGAGCCCTACTGCTTCCACGCGCTCGAGAACCGGTATGGTTTTGGCGAGGGAGGGAGAGAAAGCGGTCTCTTTCCCTTTCCCCTTGCTGCTCTTGCTTTTATTTGCGAGCGACCCCTTGGATGAGATGTCCCAAACAAGCACAACGGAATCGCGACCTCCGCTGACGAGCCATTTGCCATCGGGCGAAACGTCTAGACCGCGGGGAACGGAGACATGCCCTTCGAGAATGGCCTCTGGCTTCAACGCAGCACCCGTTCTTGCTGCAACCGCAGACAGGTCGAAAATGCGGATGCGCGTGTCTACGGAGCCGGTGATGAGCTGCATCTTTGTCTCGCGCTCGACCGCGGAAGGGTCGAAAGGATAGTTGAAGGCGAGCGCGCTGACCACGCCTCCATGTCCCTTGAAGACATGCGTGACGAAGCCGCGCAGGATGTTCCATACCCTCACAATGCCGTCCGCTGAACCGGACGCGAGGTACGTAGAGGTAGGGTCGGCCTTGCACACATGGACGGGCGCGTCGTGTGCGCGTGCGACCACCCTAATCGGATGCACAGGTCTCGCCAAGGGTTCGTCTGGTGACGGGACCTCATATATGCGCAGTGCCAGTGCCGATGTGAAGACTATGAGATGCGTGGAGGACGGAGTTATACATAACGAGGTGATGGACTCCGTATCCTGCCACGCATGTCAGATTTCGGTCAACGGGGAAGGATACACTTAGACGCACCCCAGAGAACCGACACATCTCCTGCCCCTCTTTGATATCGGTCATGAGCACCTCCTCGCCGACGCACGTAAAGAGCCTGGTCCCATCCTGGGAGATGGCCACCGGACCCTCCGTGTGCAGAGGGGCGATGACCCTGGCCTTCTTGAAGCTGGACGACAGCAGTCAGATATACATACGAGTGATTCGGATATAACATACGCTGTTTTGAGTTTGGCGCGTGCTGAAGATGCCATGGCAGGTTTGGTCGACTGTAAGGCGCTTAGCACCTGCTAGCTTTTTCGCGCCGGGAGCGGTTGTTTGTGTTTGTTGACCAAGAGCCTCTAACCAGAGACGCCCGGGGATCTAGCGCCCGATCGAGGCACGATATGATCCTGGGCGTCTAACCACATCGCCGGGGGACGGGCGCTCAGCCGCGTCGACATGCGCACACAGCGTGCTCTGACATGCTCGCGACTCTCGCCACAACGTCCTTCCTCCCCCTGACCTAGAGCACGTCACTTGTGCTGCCCACCTGCGGTACTTGAGCGCGTGAAGACGGCCATCGGAGGCGGCGAAACCCCAGATTAACTCAAGCTTCATCTGTCAGATTCGCTCATGCCACTCAGGATCTTGACCAATCCCCCATGGGCCAATACGCTCACTTGATACCCAGATGTCGTCCCTCTATCGTCGTGTCTGACAGAATAAATTGAGGGATAGGCGGCATTCCCACCTGCGTGTGAGTCCAATGACCACACATTACCCCTTGTTGACGGTGAACTCCCATTCTGTCGTATTGAGTGCATGCATGTTGCGCTTATTACAGCAACGCTCGGTCATGAAGCATGCATGTCATGAAGCATGTGGATGCAAGTTCCCATAACGACTACGCATACGCAAGCCATAGATCGGGAGCTAAAGGTATGAATGTCCTTGTTCCATTAATGTACGCTCCCCGAGACCGCCGAACACCACATAGCCTACTCGCAATAAGAATGTATCAACACAGCCCCAAATTATGGCATATGACAAGGCGAGAACGATACATGAGGATGAACCAAGACCGAAATGTACAAACCGGCCCAAAGGGAGACAGAGTGTCAAGGGGGAGAATCCGGTGTTCAGTAGCACAACGTCGAAAGAACGTGAGTTATAAGAAACATGCCTATCCAAAATAATACGGATGCTGTAATTGTCATGGCCTCGATGACGTGTACCCCGGTGGTCTTCGCTGCAACTGGTATGCTCGGAGCGCGTCTTCTGCCGCCAGCCTGAGACGCGCCTCGTCCTCCGCGATGTGCTCTGCCTCCCGCCTCCGCCTAATCTCCTCCTCCAGTCGGCTCTCCACCACCTTCATAGTCGCCCTCGCCCTCGAGGCATCCGCCTGCGACTCTGAGAGTTGTGCTGAGAGCCGAAGTGAAGCGTTAACGGCGTCCGTCGATTGCCGCCGTAGGCCTGCCATCTCCATCTTCAAACGCTCGATGAGAGGGTCTCCCGCCTCTGGGCTCCTGAACGCTTGTCCGTCGGAGCTTTTGTATGACTGCCCGTCGCCGCCTCGATACAGCTGGCCGTCGGGACCTCTGTAGGCTTGTCCTTCAGGCCCTCTGTACGTCTGCCCCTCCGAGCTCCTGAACGATTGACTGTCGGATCGATTGTACGACTGGTTGTCGGACGCCCGATAAGAGTGGTTGTCCGAGCCTTTGTATCCTGGTGGCGGTGGTGGCTCCGGGCCCTTGTAAGGTTGTGTTTCCGGGCTCCTGTGCGTCGGGTTGCTTGCGTAGGACGAGAAAGCGCCGTACAGGGCGGGTCTGTTGCTCACAGAGGACAGCGAATGGTGAGAATGCCCATTGGACGTCGAGGGCTTTGGTCGAGGGTCGTATTGATATGGTGTGTCCTCGGCGCTGTCGTACTCCGACATCCGCGCCCCGTCCTCCTCCCACTCCATATCATCCTCGTCCTCGTCTTCATCGTAGTACTTCGCGGAACGCAGCGTAGATCCCTGGTTGAACGACCTACTGTCAACGGGCCGCAGCGTAGCGATTGGAGGGTCCTGTAAGCGATACTCCGACTCAGCAGTCTGCTCCCGGACCTTCGGGAACGGCGGTGCGGAGGTTGGTGCGGATGAATGAGCGGAAGACGGAGCTGAGTTCGAGGCGGAATGGGGTGTGGGAGGCTGTGCAGATGGGGATATTGAGGGTGGACGTTGCGGCGGTAAGGACGACGTTGGCAAGGGAGCGGAGGTCGAGTGCGGGAGCGGGGGCGGTATCGAAGGGTGCGACAGTGGGTGCGCCAGCGACGCATGAGAAAGCGACTGCGGGAGGGATGGGTGTGAATGTGATGGCGGGACAGAAGGTGGCAATGGTGTTTGTGCCGGAATTCCCAACGAGGACTGTAGAACATCGTTCTCCAGGGGAAGGCTGTTTGCGGGGGCGTCCTTGTTGGCGCGACCTCTCTTACGTGGTCGCTTCGTCCCAGGGGGAGCATCGAGGTTGACAGTCCAATACGACCCAAAGCCAGGGTCGGTCGCAGGGCGAGGTTGACGCTCAAAGAGTCGATTGAGTGATAAGTGATGCCTCACTGATTGCTGGAGGGGGAAGGACGAGACGTCTCAACCCTGATAGACGAATGCACGATAAACAGGCAGGATATTCACCTTCCATGCCGGCCCCGCCGTCTTGTAGTACGGGTACTTTTTCTCCATCGCCGCGTATATCTCTCGGATTGTGAGGCGTTTCTTGGGGCTGCCGAGGATGGCGCAACGGAGGATGACGGGGAGGGTATGCTGGGGACGGCCATCGGTGTCGGGGAGGCAGGTCAAGGTGTCGGGGCAATTTGGGTGAGGCTCGTGCGGGGTGATGGAGATGTTGGCCTGGCCGTAGTAGTTCTCCTCAACCGTGCGCTCGCTGGCTATGGTTGCTGGAGGCGACGATGTCGTGCTTGGAGGCGAGCCATTGTGAGCCTGTGTGACTCTGGGAGGCTGCATCAGCCGAGAACGGGGCCGCGATATGGGAAAGAGAGTGGAAGACGTGGCCGACGACGCTCACCTGCGGTTGTACTCATATGTGCTCTCGGGGTTGAGAAGGTTGTTGAGGCTGGTCATGGGTGGCTGCATGCAGCGCACCCCGGAGAGAGAGGGTGGCTGGAGGGGAGAGGTGGACAGGAGTTTGCGGCTAGGTTGTGGTTGTGGGTCCATCGCCTTTACATCGCACGCCTATTGTGCTCTATCAGATCCGCAACTCCGATTCTAAACATTGACGACACCCGCGTGGTCCCGTTTAGGCAGGCTTGGTTACTCCCTGGCCAGTGGCTGCCTTGTCTAGCCTGGGGGTCCCACCACAAGAGCAGCCAATAACCATGCGGACAGTGTGATCTCGTTGTGATTATCTCCTCTGCATCATATCAACCGCCTGGGTGCCTTTTCGGCTGCCCCGGTCATGCGAAGGGCACACTCCGCTGCGTCAGCATCTCCTTCCTCACTCGCCCGCTTCCCACAAGACCCGCCCAGCGCTGCCTCGTCGTGTCTTGTGTCCTCCCGGATGACGCCCCAAACGTAACGCGAGCGCGATGAACCCCTGCGCGGAGCGAGAGGGTCTGGCCTGGACCTACTTGGGACCTACTGTCACCCACGCTATTGGCTTCTTATCGCGTCGTGGACTCGTGGACTCGTGCCGGCTTGTCGCCCGGAAGTGTACTCAAACAGCAATCAGAGCTTCGTAACTCAAGTTTTACATACACGCCAGGTGCCGACGATATCAACGCGCTACAAGCACTCCTCCCGGGCAATACCCTTGCAATACCCAACTCCTCCGCTGTGCGACCCTGTGGCTGAATCCAGAACTGGCCATCCAAATCCGTTGAATGAAGACTGCCGGATGCTATAGACTGCGTTCATTTCAGGGGGCTATACGGTAGCGGCTCTAGTATTATCGAATCCATCAGCATGGAATACTCGGCCGTCTGGTGTCACGGCGGTATTAGGTTCAGAATGCAACACCCTGGTGGAAAGAGCTCACCTTCGATGCAGTCTCGGCCCATCCATCCAGCTTCCAAGCCTTCTCCCGCGTCTCTTTGCGGGTCTGAAGGTCACTAGAGAAGACAGCTGATCATGCGGCTATGAGAACGGACATTATTCGGTGACGTACGGATATTGCCACATGTGATGAACTTGGTGAAGGCGTCCAACCTGGGAGAACCAAGCACCGACTGGTTCCACAAACTGTCGGCGGGCCTCGATCCCTTTGCGCCTATGAGGTCGAGAATCCAGACGTGTTCATTAATACCGACGCTAACGAATGGGAGATAACAGGAACCCACCAGGTGTGCTCCCATTGCAGCAAGGTTCCCGGCTGCAATTGATAGGTGCGAAGCTCGAAGATGCCCCCTTCAGAATGGGGCGGTGCCGTCGGTAATATCGCAAACTCCTGGTTCAATTGCGAGTTACGGGAGACGAGATGAGGTAACATATTTCGGTATGCTTTGATATACTATCGTGGGGCGTCCATTCAGTCGTCCGATCCGCGGACCTCAATCAGAGGAAATGGGGTTCACTCACGTCAGAGTCCCGAATCTTCTTGGTGGTCTTGTCATAACCACTGTAGTTTTCGTATTCCAGAATGTGGACTGAGGCCGCGCCGCAGTCAGACAACACCTAGCCGGAGAGTAATTCTAACACCCACCAAACGTGTCTTGTTCCCCAACAACGGTCTCCCAGCTACCTGTCAGCTTGACGTGTAGCTCCGGGTCGTCTTTGATAGCAGAATAATACTGCTCGCTATAGACGCGTTCGTGAGCAAGAACATGTGACGTTGGACCAAACCTACGCCGCCTTCCTGTAATCCTCGACGGAGTCGGGCTTCACCTTGTGGACTAGCGATGATACAGGTGGGATTTAGTGACAACAATCATTTCCGTCGTGGCGGCCACCCACCCTCGAAGCCGTGCACGTACTTCCCTCGCGCCACGACTTTAGAATGTTGCTGAACCTGGACGTCGCCCTCCTGCTTCGCCTCGGGTGATCCATGCAGTATTGTCTTCCGGAAATGACGAGGCGACCAAGCCAAAGGCGTCAACACCCTAACGCGTGCTAGCAGCGCGACGGTAACAAACCTGGACGGAAATGGCTCTCCGTGCTTGAGATGTTGCGATACGCGGCTTGAGAGCTCGAGCACTGCGTACGGAAAGCATACCGAAGCAGATAGAGCAAACAAAGGAGCGGATGGATGTAAGGATGGCGGACAGCAGTCACTGGGGACAAACTGGGTTGTGGCAGCGCCTAACATTGGCCTAACATTGGAAGACCGTGTAGATTAGTAAGCGGCGGACTAAGGCCCCCTAACACTGGACGAAAAGTGGAAATGTCACGCTCTTTGTTCGAGGCCCTCACATTGCAGACTAAACACCGCATGTCAGGTGACACGACATTGGTCGTGTTTGTCGCCATGTTAGGAGGCCGCGCAGAGGTCGATCATTGAGCATGTTAGGACAATGCTCGCGCAATGCGCGACGCCCTTCCAGAAGCCATGTGCGGGCCCAGAACAAAGCGGATATAATTTATGATGTAAGGACAATGTACGTGGGCCGAGCATTATGTATTTGCGGCACCCTAGCAGGTGCTATGTTCGGCCCACTAAAAGGCGTGATGTAAGGCGGCCAAATACGGAAAGCCCAGAATGGATGTTCGGAAGCCTGACATACTGCATGGTTCGTCACTATGTTAGGCGGCCAGAAATTCTCTGTGTCGGTCAAACGCGTTTGCGATTCGCCAAACGATTCGCCCATATTCCATAAACGATTCGCCCGTACTCGCCAAATGATTCGCCCCCTACTCGCCAAATGATTCGCCCTACTCACAAAACAATTCGCTCCACCCACAAAGACAATTCGCCTCCACTCGTGTAAATCGAAGAAGCGACTTGCGTCCATTCACGACATCATTCGCATCCATTCGCATACTGATTCATGCAGATTTGCAACACAAATGGCGGGCGTGTTTGAGTGAAATCACATCAAGGTGGTGTTCGTGCATGTCGGCGCCACCCCCATATGGGAAGATGGCGTATCTTGACTGAACTGTGAGCGCAGTCGCGAGTCAGCGCTCATGAGATGCTGACTAGGGAGCTACGTACATGACCTACCTGCGCTGGAACGGAACACAGTTCGCGCGGAACCGTTCACCCCGCCGTCAGCTTGTCTAGCGAGCGGAGCCTGCCCGAACGACTCCCTGTGCGATACCCAGAATCCTTCCTGATTCTTCAAGATGTCTGCGAGCACTACACCGCCGAGGAACGCCATGCGTTTTCTGCGCAGTGAGTCTTAGATTTCTATGAGGGATTATCAGGACGTTCGACGTTCGGCATAGCCATCATACGCGGGACGTGTGGAGCATACCTTGAGCCGTCGCGCGACGGGTCACCGCCGAGCACTTGTATGAGGTAGAGTTGGTCCATGTCCTTCTCCAGCCAGCTTCACAGGCCATGGTACACGTAGGACACGATACGGCATCCTGGATGGCCTGGAAGAGCATCATTGATACGCCCGGTTGCTCAACGTCTACGAGGTGTGGCCGGAACATGCACTAGATCGCTGCGAATCGCTCTTGATCAGTCAGCCGTTCAGCAGCTGGACGCACTGTGAGCAGACGCACAAACTCTCGTATCGACGTGCACTTACTGCGTCCACGAGGACTGTTGCCTCCGATAGTCTTATGTCGAGGTACATATCGTAGCTGACGGTGAGTCCAATGGCTTCCGACTGGTTTTCTTCAGATTTCACGCACCTGACATAGCACAGCTTCTCCTGGATCTCTCGGACAGTCTTAAAGTCACCCGCTTGTTCGACCGTGTACCTCGCATGAGCCGAACCTTGATCAGATACCGCGTTACGTCCCGGCCAGCCATATTCAGCCAACGTGTGAGATGCAGTAGAGCGAAGCCATCGTGAAATCGTCACCGGTGTCGACGACCACACCAGTAGTGAGACCTGCGTTCAAGCATCAGTGGCTGCACGGCGGCGCAAGCTAGGCATCCGACGTACCTAGCACATACAGCAAGAACCCGGCCTGAAGCCCCCCTGAAACCGAAGGCTGTTCTGATCAACGCTCCGTCGCAGCTCCTGCATCGGGTTCGCGTCAACCCCATCCATGTCCATCCCGTCTCCGCTTCCTCCCGCCTCCCCGTCGGCACCCTCGCTCTGCAAGGAGCCAAAGATCGATCCACCAGACATGGTCGACCAGTCGAGCCCGTCGAGCAGCTCCGCGAACACGTAGGTAGACCTCCTCGAGTGCGTGCGCAGGGGCCCGGTCATGACGCCGACCTCGATGTTCGCGCCCGGCGGCGGGAACACGTTGAACTCCGTCATTTGGACAGGCGTAAGCTCGTACTCTCCTGGCTCCCCCCGTAGCATTGGCGTTTGCGCCGCTGAAGCCGTCGTCCAGGGCCTACGGTTGGACACAGTCCAGCCCTCAGAGGTCCGACAAAGGCATGCCGGACTGCATCATGTCCTGTAGCTCACACGTCGATCAGTGAAGGCCACGACGCGTCTGGTGGACGAGAAAAACACGTACCCCATCAGCTCCAAAAGGGTTGAGTTCATGAACCTATAGTCGGGGTCCATGTTCGACGGTCCAGTATCATTCGATACATCCATCGCAGTCTTCTCCCTTCAGCTCCGCAGACGAGGATCCTGAGTCTGCTGCAGATACTACGATGTTCGGAGCATCCGCGGGAGCGGATGTTGAGGCAGACGACGCGTCCACCATGGGTAGCTCGACAGTCTGCGAACTCGAGGCCCAGGGGGGCGAGATGCGCTCGGCCGTGAGCGACACAGGCGCAGGCTACACTTTGCTTGGTACGAGAGGCGGGGGCATGCGTGAATCGTACGCAGGTTGCTTTCCTTTCCCAGCCCGTGGCCGTTTCTCCGTCGGCGGCAACATGACGGACGTCCAGGGAAGGACATCTTCACGTCCTGCGCGTCGTCCTCCCCCGGGAAGTCGCCAGCGACAGACAAGGGACTGGGCGTCCAGGTCGGCGACGAGGCGGCCGAGAGTGGTGGAGAGCGCGGGGCGGTAGGGGTGGTTGAGATGCACAAAAGGCGGTTGCGGGAGCTGGGGAGGCGGCCCCGGGACGAAGAGATCCTGCTGAACGTACGGTACGTGACGCGACTTGGCCTTCTTCAGCTCCTCCTTCACTCTCGCCTTCTCAGCCTTCTCCTCTTCCTTGCGTTTCTCCTTGTCCTCCTTCTTCACCGGTTGGAACTTGTACCCAGGGAACACCTGCGGATGCTCTTGTCTCTTGGTATCGGCGATGTGTTCATACTCGTGCTTGACTCATGGATTCCCGGACTTCCAGGTGAGTGCGATGTCGCGCGAATCGTCAGCTTACAGACGCAAAGCAGAGCGAGCAGTGCAGCGCGACGACGTGATGGAGCAAGGTGAGGTCCACGTGAGATTAGACAGATTGAGGTTGAGAAGGAGGACAGGTATGGACGTGTAGTTGCACGCGAACAATGAACGTTTTGAGTTGATCTGCAAGCGTGTCCCCTTGAGCGTTCGCACAAATAATATCGAACAAAGTGCAACTCACAACACTAGCCCAAGCAAGCGACGGCGTATCGTTCGTTTTCATCCAGCCGTTTGTCTTTGTGAAAGAGTTCGTGATCCTCACGTCCGGGGTGAACCCTTTAACCTCCGGCTACGCACCGTTTTGTGAAATTGGCTACCCCGGACGCGAGGTATATCCAGTGCCTGACGGCGCAGACGTTGGCGGAGGTGTAGAGCCAGTCAGAACCGGGGCAGATGCGGCGGCCACGGCCATCTGAAGTTGAGCGGAAGATGCGCACGGGTCGCCACTTCGACTGTCGTTGTCCCCGTCAGCCAGCTGGTCCATATTCAAGGACTGCAGCTGCGTTCAAGCATCAGTGGTGGCAGCGACTAATCGAAGGTCTCGTCAGTAGCAACGTACAAGGCAAATTGATCATGGGTGGATGAGGAGGCGCGTACTGGCGCCACGACTTCGCATTGGACTGCCCTGTGCCCAATATGGCAACAGCAGGCAATATCCATAACGATGATATTTTGAAGATGAGTATAATATTCTGTTCGCCGGCAGGACCAAGTCGCGGTGAATGGGTTCGCTGGTCGCTCGAGCTCACGAAATACACATTAAGAACAAAACTACAGGTCGCCTTTAAAGTCATGTACGCGTGACGTCGACCATGTCTTCTACTGAGTCCCCCGGCGGGCCCCTCCCAGGTGTGCCGTTTGAACGCGGTGATGGGTACAAATCCTGCAGAGGGAGTTAAAAATCATGCCAAGCACTCGCCATTCGAAACGCTGGGAGTACCTTAACAATTGGAAATGCATGGATCCTGTTCTTGACTATTGCAGAGTCCGACGTCCCATGGTACGGCGTGCGTGCAAATGGGCAGACAACATCTTGCGCACATATTATCTCCGGGGGCAACAGATCTTCGTAGAACAAGCAGCCTGCAACGGCAAATCCGAAACGGCGATATGGATCTTCGCAAGCGTCCTGGCCAAGGGGCCGGTATCGCTGCACAATGAGGAAGATTCCTCGAGTGGGATTCCTCTGCGGCCCCCCAATAGGACACTCCTTTTCCCAAAGGATCCGTGAAACTTGGGCAGGAGAAACTCCAATCTTCTCAATGTTAGGCAACTCTGGGTCAGTAATATCAAACACTTCTTCACATGACCGCATGAGTATGTTGGCATCATGGTGACTCCTGAAGAATGGCCGGAAGTTGAAGCCGTTTGTTCGCATCACAGAACACGACACGATCCCTGTATGACCGTAAGAAACTTTGATTCTCAATCGCGCATTGTGGGTCTATACACACCGCTGAGGTCATGTCTTCCGACGTAGTTGATTACCAGACGTCTCTCCTCGTCAGTCGTAAAGCGAATCGAGGACGAGAACTCTTTGACCTGCAGTCTCGCTGCGTCTCCGAGGCCCAGCATGTCATTGAGCCTTGTGCCCCGAGACTCCGACTCGAATGCGGTATCGAATGAAGTCTGCAGTACCGACAGCTCTGGAGGGAGGTTACCGTTCGTGAGCAGAGGTCGCACATTGGCTGCACGGTTTGCATGGTACATCATAGTCATTTCCAGTTCGCCTAATAAGCTGTCAGATATGCAATGAAGTCACTGTCATTGCTGCATACCTGATTTCATGTTCGTTAGGACATTCTGTAAGCTGTGATTGAACCGTTCGGGGCCAAAAGCTCGTGTGGCATGGGAGGGGCCTAGATCCTCCAGGTTTTCATCGTAATGCTGGGCAAGATGATTACTGGGTTGGAGGGGTGCTTCGGGGTAGAGAGAGATGAACTCCCTGAGGTAGGTCGTGTAGTAGAAGTCGTAGGCATTGATGTGTGCGGCGGTTGTTGACCGAAGACACGAAATGAAGATCGCAGATACGAGGTGCATGAAATTGTGCAGCATCTCCTCTCTTCGGCCTCCTTCATGGCCCCAAAGTCGTACGAGGGTCACAACTAAATGCATCATGCCTAACGAGCGCCATTCGTCCGCCTTTAGCTTTCCCGGCTTTGCGGCAACCTTGCGTGGCGCAGGAGAGACGCACGAAGGGACAAGCATTCGATCTATGTCATCCCATACCTCTTGCAGCATATCAGCCCCAAGAACAACGGCTTTCCTATCTGGCGATATCTCATTTGCTGCCCCGGGGTGTGCGGCGGTCTATAGACATCCTTAGCAGAAGTTACCCAATCGCCGTACAAGACTCACCCAAATTGAAAGTCGTTCCCAGAGCTGCTTTTTTGTCCCTTCGCTTGGTATGCCATTCTTCCTGCAGAGGGCTTGGAGTACTGCTGCGCGTACGTTGGGGTTTTTATTCCCCTTGGCAAGCCCTAGCTCGGCCTTAGCGATATCATCCTCCGTCCAAGCCTGGCTTGATAGAGACGTCGTTGAAGCCTGAGAGCCACTGGCCCCTGCTGTAGAAGATGTCCGATCCAATCCCCCGTGAGTGTCTAGCGATCCTGAGGGTGATTCAGTCATGGTTGTGTAAGCAGATTGATATGCAGATGTCTGCGTACCGACGATATTGTTCTCGCCATGTATGTCCGAGTACGACGCGGTGTAGTTCGACGCGGTGTAGTTCGACGCGGTGTAGTTAGACTCGGTGTAATTCGACGCGGTGTAATTCGACGCGGTGTAATTCGACTCGGATGAGCGTACGGAGTCCTCTCTGGAGACTTGTTCAGTGTCCCCGCTCCTCGGACGTCCAGCAGCAATCGTCATGACATGATCGGGCAACGGTTGTGCCTCAAGCGAAAACGGTGATGGCGATGTGCCCGTAGGGGTACGATGAGCGTCAACCGGAGTAGGTGCATGCGGAGCAACACCTAGAAGGGACCCCGCTCTCGCCCGTACTTCAGGGGGCTGATGGTCGCGCTGTGGATGATTTACATGAGACATATACAACTGCAATAGCATAAGACACACCCATTCAATCAGACGCCGTGCGAGCATGCGTACAGAGCCCGCTCTCCGGAGGCCACGATCATAGCACAAGTGCCACAAGACTGGGTACGGCTGCAGCTCCAGACTCTCCTGTGTCGCAGTCCATAAGAACGCCTCCTTCTGTACCCATTCTTGTGTCCGGTTTCTCGCAGCACACGGCGGGATGTCCATCTTATGACAAGACACCCCATCACCAGATGGACTCGACGCGTCCATGCCCCAGGCATATGATATGTGGTGTGATAGATTGCGGAGGAAGTGAGTGTGCATGGGCTCAACAACCGTAAACCGGATAGGGTCCCAGTACGGAAGACGCAGGAACTCCGTCCATCGTACCCCGCCTTCCCGAATATGGGCGACCCTCGCACGCTTCGTCCTGAGAGTACGCCATGTCTCAGCACTCTGACGATGTGTAGTGACATCGCGGTAAGTCCAGGTCGATTTCACGATGTTCTCGATGTTGTCTCTCTCCAAAAGGCATATCGAACAGAGATATGTCGCTGAGTGGCCCGCAAAGCCAGATATCTGGCGCGCGGCAGGGAGGTCGCATATCATTGGGATGAGGGCACCGAGAGAGAAACGCCCGCTTGGATGGTTGGCGGTTTTGGAGAAGTAGACTCCGGGATTCCAGAACACGAGTAGGTCGTCCACAATGAGTCGTGCATAGTGGTTGATCTCGTCCAAGGAAGGCTTTCCGGGGCCGGGGATAACGCCGATCAAGAACATGTTTTCCTCGCGATAGCGAAGATCTGGGGGCAGGTTCATGAGGACGAGGTAAATGGCGGTAGACGATATGCTCTTGCGGCCGGGCTTCATGTGATGCGGATCAAAACTGTCAAACGCAAAGCCCCAGATGAGCCTCAGTTCGTCATCGGGGCAATCCATGAATCGCAAGCCATCAGGCCCGACAAAATCCCGAATAATCTTGCTCTCCATGATATCGTGAACCCTGTCGTGAACGTCGTCGTGCAAAACCTGCCCGCATTGTGTCGCGTACTTGTCCAGTGAGGCTTCGATATCCTTGCGAGCTAAAAGACGTGAATGCCATGCTTTGAAGTCCTGGTGCAGGTATTTGCGAATCGCCATGGTATGCATCCCACCCTTGAGAGACCGTGTCGCGAAAAGATCGGCGCCACATGGTGAGGCAGTCTCGTAAGCCGTGTACGTGCATCGTTCCGGACAGTCCGCAGGGAGGCCCGGGTATAGGCAGAAGCATTGCGGACACGAGATGTATGTCTTGACTTCGGGATCGATATCGAAGTGGCGGAGCAAGCTGCGTAGGTCGGAAGGGACCTGGCCAACGAGGCCCAACTTTCCCTGCAAGAAAGAAAAGACAAACCGGACGATGTCCAAGACCCAACGACATTGTCTTCTCGACACACCGCAGAGGAGAGCGAGCGTTAAAACCATGTAGCATAATGCTGCCACAGCCGGATCCAGGCCTGGGAAGGCCTTGCGATGATAGCGATCTAAGACGTGGTGTGAGCTATTAGAGACTGTGGGGGTAGTCATTGAAGTGTCCTCACCACAGTTGAGATAAATCCTAGCCATTCCCCTATGTTCTATATGAGTCTGTGGGCCTGGCGGACCATGCTCGCGTTGGGCATCCCATTCTCTCCCTCTGATATCACAAACCCGTTTGATCTCTCCGCAGATACTCCCGCGAATACGTAATCGTATACGCTCGACAGCCTCAACGGCGGGGAGAGCGTAGCGTCCGTTAAGATCCAAGTAGTTGTACATGTTGGCCTCGTGGGCCAAGAGAGTCGAGTTGAGGGTGGAAGTGGATGATAGGGCAAATATACCGGTATTTGGACGATCCGAAATCTCATCGGAGAACGTGTATGGGGGTGACGTCGCATCTGGGGGAACCGCAAAGGCTAGAGGCGCGGTCGCGGAGAATCCTAAGATCTCTTGCTTGATAGCACTGAACATAGTGTCCAGATCGCTCAGAGAACTCTCGATCGACGCATATGCGTCGAGCTCCGCGGTATCATTACCCCCGTCGGACGGTCCACCGCCTGCTGCCTCGTAAGATGCTGCTGTCGAGTTAAGAGGGGTTTCATTCGGTGCCGATGCCGAGGGCCCAGTCGATAACGCAATGCCTTCAAAGGACACATTGGGCGGAGGAGCTTCAGTCACGGCTAGGGCCATGAACCTAGCTTCGATTTCCGGGCCAGAAAGGATCCTTTCCCGCAAAGAATTGACATGTCGGTCGATCGTAGAATGAAACTGGATGGCACGGGAAGTCTGCCAGTCCCCGACGACGGTACGACCGCTGCGTGGATCGAGCACCTCCTTGTCGCGACAATGATATGCATCGCAGGTGCACAAATACATCGTTTTGCCATCCACAATAGCATTTGGATGACTTGCCCTGTCGCTGTGCAGCGCGGAGGTGTTCATTGCGCGGTGATGTGAGGGCCTAGATAAATGAAGCTACGACCTCCTGAAATCAGTACCGCACTGGCCTGTAGAGCCGTTCTGAAGCTCACGCACGTTGGGCAATGCAACAAATATCAATTCTTGTCTAGTTATAGTGCGCGCGTGTGTTCTTGGTATTAGGGCAGCCGATCTTCTACACCATGACGATTTAAGCGTCAGGACCATAGCTCACGCATGTAACAACTCGCGTCACACTTACGAGTCAGTGGCACCGCCCTTCGATCCGGGGCGATTCGAAATGCCAACTTTCGACTACACAAAGGAAATGGGAATGGCAGTGCCAGTGGCTCCGGTACTAGTAAATCTGAGAAAACGCGTCACGCGTCCCGGCGCTTAGCCTACATCCCAGCCTCCTCAATAAAGATCCCGTGCTCATGAGCGATGAGACTAGCGATATCTGTGCGCCCTGCGGAGAGTGCCAACGGCGCCGACTTGCACGTATGAATCGCAGCGAGTAGTGCGGAAATATATCATTTAACCTGTAGCTATCACGGCCCATAGCTATGGTAGAGGTCAGCTCACGGTAGAAGCAGAGTACATTGCGCTGTACTGGCCGTTCCTTCGTCTCCCACTAATGTTTCAATATCGTGGGCTGAGCGGAAGGGGTAATCTATACTGCTTGGCCGTCAGTCCTCACCATTGATCGCCTGACCGAACGACTACTCACATGAGAAATGGTCGACAGAACCCGACAATGTGCAGTACCTCTGTGGAAGGCGTGACGTGAGGCTAGCATGTGCACGAAATTGCGAGCTCCCCTTCCTTGTTTCCTCTCTTTACACTGAGCGTGCGATGTGAACGTCAACGAGACGATCCAAGTGATTGCCGTGTTGTCCTTCGGAGGTCTGATTGAAATACTCATTGAGCGAAAGCACCTAGAACGGTCTGTACGGCCCACTCCAGTTCAACGGACAGAAGCCGTCGCATGCAGACGGTGTAGAGCATAGTCAACGTTCGGGACATTGTCCCTTACTCTGGTTTTCTTCCATGGCAAGGCCACTGGAGGGCTTCATCAGAGAGCGGCGCGGGGCGTTAGGGTGCTCTATGTAGAGATAGAAACCGAGAGAATAGCACCCTAGTTTCAGTACGAGCCGTGCACATGCCCGCAGATAGAAATCGACGCGTCGTGTCGCGACCACCACCGAGCACATACACTAAGTCCCGCGCATGCACTTTAGTTGTCTACGTAGGACACGTCAGAGCAGGAAATCAGGGCCCGCAACGGATGTGACAGAACATACCGCGCTCGTCATCACGTTTGAGGTATGTGCCACGCAGCGTGCTGAGAGTGGCGAGTGGCTACAGCATAGCTACCATGATCAGAATTCGAGGTATAAAGCAAAAAATAATATGTGCGCACGGCTATGTACAGAACGTTGAGTTAGACAAGTGTCATACAAGGAGTAGGTCGAATGCCTGACTAGCTCTTCCCGTTATTCATCGAGATGGCTCATCTTTGAGACGCACTTCCTATTCATCACCAAGACCGACGGAGAGGTGGTCGCTCTGCTTGAAGCCCTTCGCCACGTACGCAGCGGAGAGATAGTCGCTCTCCGTGTCCTGGTAGGCGTTGAGACTCTGCCTGCCGTACATACGCTCATCATAAAGCTCCTCTTCTTCCTCTGCACTGGGAGTGGCGAGCAGAGAAGCGCCTGCAGAAGGCCGGTACGGGTTGGACACGGTAGTAGCGCGAAGCCTAGACGGGTTCGCAGCGAGATTGCCTGCGATCGCGGCTTGGGCCTGATTGCGTAGCTCCGAGATGGTAGCAGCGGGCGGGTGGCGGAGGGTCTCGTCAAGACCCAGATAGTCCAGCGTGTGGACATCGAAATCATCTGCGCCGGAGTCCATGGACGTCACTGAGCGCAGATCGTCCAGCACGGGCATACCACCGTTGCGGCTGGGCATCCAGGTCGACGAAAAGAGGGACGAGCCGAACGCGTTGGAGAGACCGCCCGAGGGGAGGGTGAGTGAGCCAGAGCGGAGGCGGCTGTCCCGCTCAGTCAATGCAGAGGAAGCAGCTGAAGAAGCGACCGAGGCCGAGTGACGTAAACCAGGTCGCACGGGGGCCGTCGACGCGGGCGGTGCGAAGCTCTGTCGCTGGAGCTGCTCCTGAAACGAGCCCGTCGACGCAGTGGCAGCTGCCGCTGCTGTCGAGCTGCTCAGCGTGCTCGATGCCGCGGCGAAGCGCTGAGCTGCGAGCTGGACATTGGAGGGCAAGGTCCCCGCCCTCGCCCTCCGGAAGCCCGCGGGGTAGTTGGTCGGCGGCAGGTCACCGTTGTCGCCTGGGGAGTTCATAGACGAAGATAGGTCGTTATTAGGAGGAGAGCCGCCGGAAGCCAAGGCGCGCAGCGCGGGGGGCCTGTGTCGAGCACCTATCCCCTGTTCTGCCTCGAGCTCCCTCGCTCTGAAAAAGACTGTCAGACGGCGGCGAAGGCCAGAATATGCACCGCGACACCTTTTGGCGGACGCAGCTGAGGGCGCCGACCTTCAACTCAATCAGTACCCTTTTGGTGGCCTCTACGTAGCTCGGGCGCTGGGTAGGGTCAACGAAGGGGCTCGTCAAGATCTTGTGGACAACGGCAACACCGTTAACCTGATCGCCCAGCACGTCGGTAAGGACGTGATCGCCCGGCGACGAGAAGAGGGCCTCGACGATCTGCGTAGACGCCTCGGGCTCGACCTTCTGGTTGACGATCCTGAGCACTGTGAGCGATGCGAGTTTGTGGGTGCATAGGTGCGAGAGGTGCGGCGTGAATCGAGGCGCGAGCAAGTTATACCTCGACGGGAAGTTCGACGTGTCCAGCAGCCACGTCAGGAGCAGCGCGTCGTTCGGGTTTGTCGCCAACGGGATCGAGTTCAGGATGATCGCAGTAGCGATGCGGCGCTGCTGGCTGACAGTGATGTTGCTGCTCTCGAGGCAGGCACGCATGCTACGAGCTCCGAAGCGGCCTTGAGCGATCTCCCAGAGACGGTCGGCCATCGCGTCGAACAAGAAATCGGTGGCGGGTGCACCGAAGCGCAGACACATCTACCCGGCTATCAGTATGCATCCCCATACACACGTACTCTCACACTTACTGCACGACGTAGTTACCGAACTGGTCCAACAAGAGCGGCGGGACGTAGGGCCTCAAGTTCTGCGTGACGAGAGCCACTTCGTCTGCAGTCTGCACGCACTCGATGATCTTCTGCGCAGCCCACGTGCCGTTTTTGTGGATACCGATCATAGCGAGGTGCCGGCTGAGGCGCTCGAGCATGGCAAGGCGAGGCGTTGGAGAGCACTTCTCGAAAAGCTTTTGCACGACGTAGAGGCACTTGTCAGATCGATGGCGGACATCCGAAGGGAGACATAACGTGTTACCAAGCCAGTCGGACGCGAGGTCAACAATCTCCCCGTCGAGGAAGTCGGCCGCGGTATTGTCAACTTCTTCGGTGGAGATCGTGCTCGTGTCGAGCCTCTTGCGGAGCTCACGCAGCTTCGACGCATCCCACCGTCTGTTGTGAGGCCTCTCAGACACCAGCGGGATCGTCGTGTAGTACATCATCGGAGGGCGGAACTCTGCTAGTACGTCAGTGCTGGATCACTAAGTCGATCCCAGTAAGCTCACCTGCAAGGGCCTGAACGTCAGCCTCAGCATCAGGACTTCCACCACTGAGCTCCTTCATGACCATCTGCTGCTCCGTAACCGCCGTAGTCCAACCCGCAGGCTTGCCAGCCGAGTCGAACATGCCAGCATGCGCCCCAGAGGCGATCATGCTCAGTGACAGGTTCGAGCGGTAGTTCTCTACCTCACCGCTGAGGACCTGTTGGTCGACGGGAATAGTGGTCGCGCCCTTGATGTTGCGCAGCGCGTGTATTGTCGCGCCGACGCTCAGATCGCCGACGCCCTGGACGTTGAGGCCGTTGCCCTCGTCTTGTCCGCCGGTGCCCTCTGAACCGTTCTTGACGGGCACCTTGGCGAAGTCGATGCGGATAGCGCCGACGTCGCTGCCCAGGCCGTCGCGGCCGTTGAGAGCCTTGCGAGCGCGAACTGCATCGTCAAGACGCTCGAAGTTGACTGGGGCACCAACATCAACCTCCCGAACAACCTCATGTACACAGACGACAGACGAAACCTTACTGAAGCCACAGTTCTTGTGCGTGAGAACCCTCGCAGACTCGATGGGGCCGTACGGGCTGAACACGCTAAGAATGGTCGCGGGCGTAGTCGTCGATGGAATCGACCCGATCCAGAGCGCTCTTGTTGGGGTAGACTGCAGCTGCGCATCCATGCCCGCCAGCCCGACGTTGTTACCCGTCGCTTTACCAAGCCCGCCACCAGGCGAGGTCGCCGACGGGCTGTTCATGTTCGTGACTTTCGCGGGAGCGACCGGCGCGCTATCAGCCTTTCCGAAGCCAATGCGGACGGTCTGCCCGTTCGGCATGCCAACGTCTCCGCCCAGGCGGTTCAGGACGTCCTCCTTGGCGCGGATCGCGTCCGCCTGGTCGACAAAGTTCACGAAGCCACATTCCTAATGCGAGAATGTCAGCGCGGTGGGAACGGGAAATGAATGGACACGACACGGACCTTCTCAGGCAGCAACCTGAGCGACTCGATGGCACCGTACGGGGCGAACACGTGGATGAGCTGTTCGCTGGTGACGGAGCTATCGAGGTTCCCGATCCAGAGGGAGCGGGTCGGCGTTTGCATCTGGGAAGACCCCTCCGACTTCGGTGACGTAGCGCGGTTCTGGTTCGTCGACGGAGCGGCGAGGTACGAGTTGCTTTTGGAGAGTTCGTCGTTGAAGAAATGGACCGAAGGAGAACCACCACCCGAGTATTAGCCTTGTCAGCACGAGGATACCGCCCAGGCTCGTCTGGATGGACAGATCGTTGTACGCCTGTGCTTCAGCCGCAGCCTGACGACGGGCCTGCAGCGCTCGCGTCGTGTCGTCAAGGTTTCCAACCGATATAGCACGGGGACGTGAGCCAACCCGCGATCTTGTGAGCAGGCGTGTCGCTCGGGATTAAACTCGCACTTTGCCGGTACGCGATTCTCGAACTGCGTGACCAGTTGCCAGTACTGGGAGGTTAGTCAACAATATGCAAGGATCGCGGCTAAGACAGGACTCACCTATGTAAGAGGCGTTGTGGCCGTCAACATGACCTCATGGCAAGCGTCACTCCGGTTAGGTCGTATCCTTTCTGCGCTTCCTGACCGGTCTCTTTCCCCGCCTCTACGGATTTCAAGGCGCCTTGAAACGAGGTCACTTCAAATTTAGCAGACTTCGCTGGGGCGCCGTACAGTTCCGACGTTCTGTTGAGTATCGTGGAATCTGAACAGCAGTCATCACTCAGTGGTACGTCATATAAAAGGCAGACAGGCACATACAGTGCCGGGTCTTGCGTGATACAAACGGTCTGCGAAGGCGTTTAAGGAGGCCGTCTGTCGTGATATCAATAGTCGGCGAATGTGTGCAGACAGGCCTGAGAGTCACGAGGCGCTGGCGAGCGCGTTCTGTGAGGATGTCTTCGTGTGCACGGCACACGCCGGCCGCGTACCAGATCACTTGAATCGAGGCGGGTCATCCAACGGTAGTGTCGTATAAGAATTATGGAGTAACTGGCACGCAGGCTTCATATGGCAGGAAACTCTGAGGAGAACCAAGGGAGGGTATAGGCTGTATAAGAACGAAAGGACTTCATAATGGCCGTGGCGAGGTGAGTCATGTGCCAGATCTCACTCAGAGCACCTGAGGTCACTTGGAGGTCACGGTATACTTATGCTTCCGAGGACCGACTTGTCTGACCAATGTCTGACCTCTCCGTTTCGCACTGCAGAGCTCTTTTCTTACTGTAACTGCAATCACTCACTCGACTGTTCATGCCCACGACCGTTGCGCGACAAGATACACTCATTGGTCCCTCCTAGACGTACCTGACGATGCTATGCAATTTGCGCCGCCGAGCGACAGAACCATGCGACCCGCTCAAGGGACGTCCAGTGGAGCCAGGAGGAAGTCTGGCGAGCGGAGCGTGAAGGACGAGACGAGCGGGACGGAACTCCGAGAGATGCACCGACGGATGGGGGTAAGTACCTCCAAGGGGCGCGCAGGGAATGGTGAGAGGGGCTGATGAAAGAGAAGGTGAGTACGCGGGAGGACGAGCCAGAGCGGCATCGATTACCTGAGACATGAGAGATTTGGACAGGATGCTGCTGTCCCACCGCAGGACTTCCAGTTGCCACCCATTCACCCCGGGCTTCAGCGCCGTGGTCCATCAGCGTGTCGATGATTCGATCGACCATGCTGCGCTCACTGGCGAGTCATCGCCTCGGTGCAAGAAGCCTGAGGTTGACGATCAATGTTTCCCGTACGTTGAGTCTGCCACTCACATTGATCGAGACACTGACTGTATGCGCCTAGTGGTTTTACTTCCGAGCAGGCCGAGGCCGAGCGTCGTCATCCCCACCGGCCCCAACATGTTCCTCGGTCGCTCCGCGTTGCTCGTCGGTCAGGACGACCACACCGTCAACCATCTGCCGAACATCCTCCCCCACATCAGCTCTATGGTCACAGCTTCAACGCTACCTTGGTGCTCTTGATTGGCGGTATCTCCATTCGCCATCCCACCACGTCACCCTGACCGTCGGTGCTCAGCAGCTCGCCAAGCACCAGGCTATCGTCACTCGTATCACTGCGATTGAGCGGCTCGCCGCCGTGACCATTCTGAGCTCAGACAAGTCGGGTACGCTCACGACCAACAAGCTCATTATGGACCGCCGCCGGCGACACGATCCAGATCTACGCTGAGGATGACATCCTCAAGGCGAGGTGTCGGTCGGGCACCTTAAACCGAGCTCACGAATAACAAGAGCGAGGCGCAGGAACCCAACCTAGGAGTTCGCACCGCGAGGCCTATGTGCGCCCGCCAACGCTTACGAGGAGGTGGCGGGCGATGACTTTGAGGCTGAGGGTATATTGGTTTCGGAGCCATCGGCCTCATTCCCCTCGTCGACCCTCCTCGTACGGACAACAAGCCGACCGCTCGACGACACCATCGCCCTCCGCGGATGGTCACCTGACACCAGCTCGGCAAGAAGTGCAGCACTGACCTAGTTGCGCGTTCCCCGCAGTCTGTCACGCCGACGTCGGATGGCAATTGCTTGTGTGCTGATCTTGGTCAAGCCTGCTCGAGTCAGCAGATGTCTCACGAGTGGCCGGTGGCACTGATCATGTACAGAAAATCAGGATACATTAGAGCCTACGGTGTGTTCGTGGAGCGGAGGGTGTGTACTAGTACAGGAGATGGACTTCGTGACAAATTCGGAGTATAATTCATGTGGCGTCTGGACGGGTGGTGTCTGTATTACCCGCCTGTATGCATCGCCATGTGTCCTGAAGACGTCTGAGCCTCTGAGCAATTGTTTCGTCAAATCTGAGGGCTCACCAACGGATCATCTAATCGGTACCTGCGTTCGGCTGAACAGGCCTCTCAGGGTCGAAGCGTCCGGTCACCACCACCTGACGAGACAGGTCGTATAATTTCGCCGTCCTATAACATGATCAATCGGTGTCATTCATACGTGTGAGAAATATCAGACATACTCGATGATGTGGTCAGCGTGCTTGAGATTGATCTTGTCTGGGAGCGGGCTCAGCCACTTCATCTTGAATGGGTCGCATCCCTGCAGTAGAGATGGGGCGTAGCAATTCGTTGGAAGGTTGATGACCGCAGGGCGAGTGGTGACCTGTTGACTAGCCACCCGATAGTGAGGCCAGCCACCCTGGGAAGCCTGGAAGCCGCCTCTGTAGCGTGTCCACAGGTGAAGCGAATCGAGGGTCCGCAGCCATACTTGGAGTTCTGGAGACCGCCAAGCCTTGGAACGTATAAAATACGTCGGTTCTCCTCTGCCGACAGCATGGTCGGACTCATCAGTACTCATACCATGAACACCGAGCGCGTCAATGAGCTCCGTGTCCATTGGAGCAAGTAGGGAGACGGCGATATTGCGACGCCTCGTGAACAGCTGTATAGGACGATAGATCTATAACATGGACAACGAATGTATTCGCGATCACTTACCTGCCGCTTCCGCTCTTGTCGCCTGTGCAGCTTCTGCTCGTACTGAGTCTCCTGTTCACTCATGGCCTGACCTTTAAGCTGCCGGCGCAGGGTCTCTGTGTGCCTCATCCAAGCTTCTATCACTTGCTCCTCCGATTTTTCAAACCGGGGGTATCGCGCCCTGAAGTCGACCGTGAAGACTCTTGCTGCGGATAGATTCCAGGCAGACGAAGGTCGTGCGTGTATGTCGTAGGAGAACCTCTCTGCGGTGCAGCACTCGCGACCACTAGTCGGATCAAAGGCTGCTATCTGTTCCGCCGATGGTATGTTGACGAACGGAGACTTCTTGTTCTGACGCGCCATCAGTCGGAGAGCATGAACGGCGAGGGTTTGCTAGTAGCTGTCAGTGAGGACCAGCGTCATCGTTGAGCTCCAATCCTCTCACCTTGAACGCTTTGTCTTCCGGAGACTTCTTCGGCCGCTCGCGGTGATTAATTGGCAAGCGAGACTTGTTATCTACGTCCATCTCGTCGTCAGCCGTGTCCCCTGGGCCATCGTCTTCGTCTCCAGATCCTTTGGCCGCGGGCCCTTTGGACGACGAAGCGTCGGCTGCATCCCCACGACGCGACGTCGATGCAATGGACCCGGAAGCCTGAGCAGATGAAACAGCATTTGCCGTAGACACCACGGACCGTATAGCAGTTTCCATCGATAGTTGCAACGACGATGCGATGGTAGCTGCGAGCTCCGCCATCTTGGTGTCGAAACTGTGCTGCATGCTTTGCTCAATCACGACGAGATCGCGCCGCGTAAGGGGAGTCAAATCGACGAGAGAATGGCTCGACGATGTAGTGACAGCCTAGGTGCGATAACGTGTGCGATAAGGTCAGAGCAGCGTCGATATGGGAGGTATATCTTACGTTGTGCGTTTGACCCGAGGGCACACTTGAGACTCCTGGAGGAGTCTGCCCCTTTCGCGCGCTGGAAGGTCTACGTGGTTCTTGCCACTCTGTCGAAGGAATTTGATGCTCAGACACAGGTTCGGCCGGCCCGGGTAGCTTTCTCGCATTGGTCGCAGGAGAGCCTGTCTGTGCGGTCGTCGGCGTCCTCGTCACGCGCGTGTGTTTGCTATTGTCGAATCGTTCAAAGGGGCGACGAGACGCCTGCTTAAAAATGAAATCGAAGAGAAACACCTATGTTGTACCGATACGCACTGTGTGTGAGACTTCCTGGTGAGCAGTAGATGGCTTGGTCGCGGTTTGCACCTGAGATGGTTTAGATATAACGAGTCATACAGTAATAACAAAAGTACACACATTCGATTTGACTTGCAGAGAGGTCATTTCTTCTGGGTCGCGACGGCGCCGTTTCTCATTCCGCTGCTCGACTAGCGTGAAACTGTCCTCGTCGGGCGAGTCCTCGCCGATATGTTGACGCCTCTTTCCTTTATCAGGGCGAGGTGGACGTTCAGTTGAGGTCGAGCTAGCGCCATCTGAAGCCGAATCGTCCATGGATACATCGACGTCTGGAGATGGCTGAGACTGAGACTGATAAGCCGTCTATGCTCTGAACCGAACCGTCGTTGATGAACTTACGCTGCCGACATGCTGAGCAAGACTACCACCGCCCGAGAGCGCTTTCGACTGAGATGGTATAGAAGCGAGGAATTCGGAACTCTTGTTGCTATGATCCTATGAACGGGTCACTGAGCAATTGCGTAATAGATCAGGCAACAGCTTACCTGTGCCTGTCCGTATTCGTTCAGACTTGCGTGGAATGTTAGCACAACGCGCATTTGGTCAGGAACTGATGCTCACCT